TAAGCACTTCCATGGCTTATGGCCAAAATGAAAAGGTAATAATAATTTGTAGTTAGTGTACATATATCCTATTTTATTAGTTCATTTTTGTAAAGTTGGTCAAAATCAAAGTATACCCTGTTAAGGGAAAAAACAATTAAGATTCTATTTTGTTGGCAACATTTCAAATGCAAAACCTCTACTGTTTTCCTTTCTTCCTTGTCAGCTCATCAAGCTTGATATTTGTCAAGATTGAAAGGAAGTTGTCTAAATAAACTTATTTATCAAATGTATATTGTCTTAAAACAGTTAGGTGTTCCAAGCGAGATATTTGGATGGTGATGCACATTTTCTAAAACTGTTAAAGTTCCATTAGTAGAAATTTGGTCGAAACAGTAAGAATGATCCAAAAGGAGCAAGGGGGACAGCGCAAATAATGAAAAATCATAAAAAGCTATCTACAATTCGGACATGTTTGATATCTTGATTATTTTCTTGGAAGAATAACAACCCACAATTTATTCTTACTGGACCATTTCCGTATGCTTTTGCAAGTTTCCAAATCATCGTGCTTATGTGCTGGAATATATTGAGAGATACTTTAGGATTTCTAATATGGATACTGATAGTGTTTTGTTGTTCCAGTAAAACTGATGAAAATTGGGAAAGTTGTTTTAATCTTCTTGATTTTTTTTTTTTTTTTGCAAGATGCATGTGGTTAGCATAGGAAGGTTTCTTATTTATCAGAAAGTGGAAATTGATATCAGATCGAGATTTAAATTCATCGATACAAATTTTATGGAGCACCATATGACAGGATGTAAACTGTATCTACAAAATCAGTGGCAAAAAAATTTTGGTGGAATGTATGCTGAATTTTACTGGAAAGTTCTTCAGTTTTATGTATGAAACATACTACCTACCCTGGCAAAAGTTTATGGGCTTTGCTCAAGTGAAGTAGCACTCAAGAACCTGGGAATTTTACTTGAACTGTGGTAGTGCCTAGTTGCTGCTAGAACCACCTTTTTGCCTTGAGATAACTCACCCTCTGAAACTGATACTTGATTCTTGTGTTGGCTTCCTGTGAACTCCGTTCAGATCATTGGCTGGCGAAATGAATTGATTTCTCAATTTTTTGCTTGATCGACATGTTGCATTATTGCCCAATCAATATGTTCTGCATCGATCAAAGCAAACTCGGTTGACTATTTGACTTGATTTCTTAATGTTACTGCTTGATAGATGTGTTGTGCATCATTTTTCTTCTTCTCTTTTAGTTTATAAGAACTCGTTTCACCTTTTTCACATTTGGCAATGCTGTCAATGCAGAAATATCATCCATGGGAGTGATGGGCCTGAAACAGCCAAGGATGAGATTGCTCTGTGGTTCACTTCAAGCGAGTTGGTTTCCTACACTAGCAATGCTGAGAAATGGATCTACGGAGTCAATTAATCAATCTCTATACCTCCTCTCTAGTTTTCTTTTTTCTTTTTGACATTTTCATGAACTAGCAGATGCTGCAACTGCAATCAAAATTTTCGATCCACAGAGCGGGCGAAGTGCACCGCAAGAAAAAAAATGTCATTAATAAGTCATCATCGTCTTGAGATGAGATTCTAAAACTACTGAAATCTTTTTCGGGGGCTGTAGAATGTTAAATCTGGAAATGATAAGCTGCTCCATTGCCTGCTGTACTGTTGTTTAGATACATGTTTGGAACTGTGGTGAAAAGTGATCTTATGCAATGTAGGTGAATGTTGTTAATTACATAAGCTATGTCGAAACACCGAAACAACCTTTCCTCTGTTTGTAGAGGTAAGATTGTGCACATTGAACCTTTCTAAACCCAATATTAGCAGTCCATGAGATTTTTGTTTGTGCAGGTGAATGATCAAGGTCTCTGTGAAATTGGACTTTGCACAGAATTGAAACCCAAACAGATCCATTGAGGCAGACAAGTAGTCTCTCATCATGTAGGAACCACTGCTGGTTCAGGTCCATTTATGAGGTAATAAAACAGTGAGTGGTATTGAGGAATTCCATAGGTACAAGTGGTAGCAAAACAATTAATCTCTGGCATTTGATGTCATAAAGCATGTGTTTGTGGAAATGACAAAGGTTATCCAATTATTCAGTCCAGCACAAATACTAACATCCAATATCTCAAGGTGCAGGTCATCAGTACAAGCAACATATGATCCACAGAACTGGTGAGAGTTCAAGGGATGCATAGCATGAGAAGATAACTGAGTGATTAGATTGTGATGCTCTCTCTTTTTGGATCTTTTCCGCATCAAGGTTGGATTTAGTTATCATCATTTTTGTAGTACCATCTCCTTCCAATCAACTTTGGCTCTCTCTCTCTCTTTTTTCTTTCCCCTGCGTAATCCTGCTTCTCTTCTTGATCCTTCTGTTCCCGGGTGGATCGATTTCGGCTACAGTTCCATCCATGTTTTCAGATCACTTCTGCATCATCAACTTCACAGTTAAGTCCCTGCAATGGTTTAGTACTAATGGTTTGCCAATATGCAGACGGAACAAAAGAAATCAAACATCCACTATCATTAGATACATGAAATGCAGGTTTGGATGGTTAACACAAGCGATATGCAGCAGGAACTTGATCAAGTAGGAAAAGTAGGGAAATTGTATGATTCCATATCACTTTTTGAGGGCAAAACATTCTGGTTTATGTAACAAATGGCATGAATATACGGGAGAATGATTCTTAATCGTACCCGAAAGGATTCGCCTCCTCTTTCCTTTGTCTTCCTTTTTCTTCAGAGTAACAGTCCATTGCAACCTTGACGATTCGACAACGGACGCCAGAGTAATGGATAGTGGTCGAACAACCGCATGTATGGAACACAGGAAGTGGCAGCCGCCATGGTCGGCCTTTTGCTCGTGAGGCGGATTCTGATCGCAGGCACGCGTCCGACATGATCAGATTGGGTCTCGTCGACAGCGTTCCGATCGTTGACGAAAAGGTCAAAATGCCGCTGAGATTGCGTAAGTCACATTTGAAATTTTGTTCTTGTGTTTGATATGATGATGTTTGTCCAATACAACTTATACGATCAGATTATTTCAAGTTTCCTTCGTAGAATATATGTTATATTTTCAATATGGTGATTGGTGTCACTTTGCGATAACCGTTTACATTTGAATGATGAATCATAACAATATATTATTGGAGGGCTAATTACATATTAATCTGTAGTTAATTATATTTAGCATCTTAATCTTTATATTTTTTAAATTATTTTAGGATCCCTATACTTAGAAATATTTAATATTATTTTTCCTCAAATCATCTGTTAATAAAAATACTACACGTTATAAAAAATAATATTAAAATAAGATTTAAAAGATAATTTCACAGCTCCTGTGTGTCATTGCCAATTTTTTCTTGCTCACTGGCATCTCCCTACACCCAATATCTACCGTGCATAACTTTCTATCACCAACATGAGATCGTTGTGCCCTTGTCGCCTTTAACGCAACCTAAAGGACACCCTCCTCTATAAGCAAGCTATCGATAGTCGTTCCGTAGGAGTTGAATCATTTTGCTCACACATACTCCCTTTGCCTTCACGACGGCATGTACATGCTCGTGCCTCTGATGGACTCCACTGTGGCGGCACACATCAACTTCACAATGTGCTCAAGCAAGTCTCAACTATCGACGAACATTGTTGGAACGACACGAAGGAGCATCACGTAGTCGGTGGTCGACTTGACGATCTCGAATTCTGCAACAAGGTTGATGTCCATAATGTAGCGAGTGTCACCCTTGGCGATCACGTTGATATACTCGAGGTAGTCGCAAGGACTCTATTAGCTCTCATCGACCCACCATTGAGTCGCCCTCCGATTCGACCAGCGTGGCCTCGAGCAAGTGCCACCAGTGTTCACCCCGAAGCCCCTCCTCCCTCCATGATTACAACATACTCCCATTTGATCATGGCTTTCGATCATCCCTCACATCTAGATGCTGCTCGACCTCGTTGACTCATTCTAGGCCATGCTAACTCAGTTGCGGGAGAGCTGACATAATCTCTTATGGCTACCACGAGTACATCGACGTGATCACTAGGGGCGGGACCCACTACATCATGGACATCAAACTTTCCATAGAATTTGAGATCACTAGGTTGACTGCCGACTACGTGATGCTTCTCTGCATCCTTCCAACAATGTTCGTCGATAGTTGAGACTTACTTGAGCGCGTCGTGAAGCTGATGCCACCGTGAAGGCGGAGAGAGTATGTGTGAGCAAAATGGTTCAGCTTCTATAAAAAGACCGTCAGTGACGTGCTCATGGAGGAGCGTGTCGTTTGGGTTGCGGGAGAGAAGAGACGACGGGGGCGCAACGGTCCCATGTAGGTGGTGGGAAGCTGTGGAAAGTATATGTTGGGTGCAGGGAGATGCCAGTGAGCAAGAAAAAGAAAAAGTTGGCAATGGCATACGGGAACACTTTTTAAACTCTGTTTTAGTGTTATTTTTCACACATAAAAATCCCAATATAACTTTCGAAATAGTAAGGATAGAAATGTTAAATATAACTTCTACAAGAGTAATATCTTGCTTACGATGCATCTCATTAGCGTGATGTATGTACTTGATGAGTTTGAGAGCTCACGAACAACAATATTGGAAATATTTATTAATGTGTTTGCCATTATAAATTCATGATGCATGTCCAATTTATTTACCTTTATCTCTTTGGAGTGTAACTGAGCGAAGTCGAACCGAGCTTTGTGTTTGAAATTGGCTCATTATGCATGAATCTTTGTAAGCTCAAACATAGCATGACTTAAGTTTCAAGTCCTCGACTCAGTTCTGGTTTAATGCTGATCAAAGTCTCTTGGCTCAATCTTTATTTCATCAATTAAACTCAAATTACTTGGCTCAATTATCCCATACTTAATAAACATAGACGAGGCTTACTGGCAAACATTTCGAGCTACAGTTCGACATAGAAGTGGACAAAAAATTACTACTAGTCAGTACCCAGTGCAGACAACAATGGCAGTGCAGACTGTCAAATAATTAAACATCTTATGTTTCAATAAGCTGACATGAACAAAGCAACAGACAAACAAATAGGGATTATGGGTCTTTGTTCCAGATTCCATACTTTAGTATGAGGCATGCATCCAGATACACTCTGGGATGGCTCGAAAACTCGAGCAAGCAAAAGTCACAGAAACCAGCGTGTAAGTTCTTTTATTGTAACAAATATAGCAGAAGGGAAACACGATAGTACTGAGAGAAAAAGATCCACAGTGTTGTTACTTGGTCCACCAAACAAGGAAGTCCTTGCGCCTGTTGATTTTCTTTTGAAGTTGGAGGACGCCGTAAAGTAGAGCCTCAGCGGTTGGAGGACATCCAGGCACGTAGATGTCAACAGGGACGATACGATCACAGCCGCGCACAACAGAGTATGAGTAGTGATAGTACCCTCCACCATTTGCACAGCTGCCCATGGAAATAACCCAGCGTGGCTCAGGCATCTGATCGTAGACTCTGCATGAAACAACAGGAGTGGGCAACATTTAGAGGACTGCCTAGACCCAAATGACGAGAAGATTTCCCAGCAACACAACAAAATATCCTCATCCGCACATTTAAGTTCCAACAATTTCTAGGCCACAGAAATGGCAAGGTATGGTATCGTTTGCTACTCTTTAGTATGATGATCAGAGTATCAGATTAGCCCTTAGAAAACTAAAATCTCGCAACAGGGTGTTACAAACCAAAACTTTTCAGACTGGCTAACATGTTACATCTTTATTTCTGATTTTTTTCCCCTCCTTTTCTGTCCATTTTTATTCATATTCTCCCACTATTCATCTTAAATCTGCACTAGAAACCAACAACCTGAAGTAAGATTTTAACATAAACTTTTAATATCAATCCATTTCATATCGGAACCTACATCAATTGTCATCCTATCACTTAGTAAAGCTAAAAGCCTTGTTCTATTTCCTTAGCTGCTCTCTTTTTGTGCATCGACCAAAAACAAGGTATAATCTCAATTCTGTACCAATACTAGCTGTTGAGTATGACTAATATGGCATCAAATACCATAGTGTACCTGTGTGTCAGACCCCTACAACCCATATTAAACCATACACTATTCTATCAATAATAAATCAAATATATTATTAAGATATATTAGGAAGCAACAAAAACGTATCCATAAGAAACATCCAACAATGCATGAAGTTAGCACATGATATATGTATTACACATATATCACAAATATATAAATAAAAAACTTGTGAAGACATAGATTTAGCAAGTATACAAGTTGAACTATGTTAGTGGGGAGGCTATTACCACCTAAATGAATGTTGTACAGTCTAGGAACATAGGCCTAAGTCTAAAATGTCATATAATTGAAGAGTAATACTATACTGTTCTCACGATCTTTGGTATTGATAGACGGTGTGCCAATACGGAATTAAACTAACAATAGTTGTGACATCTCAGTCACTAAGTTTACTTTTAGTACTAGCCATTATTTTGGTATAGTAGACTTTGGGTTGTTAAGAACCTTTTCTTCACTGTAACAATCCAAAACCAATCTGTATATAACTTGAAGTCCTTCTACCATTATACTTGCCACACTAAAGCTCATAAAACACCTATAAAAACTCTCCACAAACGTTCAGCTTGCAGAAACTATTCATGAATTTAAAATCCATAAACGCACTATATTGCTCAAATTAAAAGATTAACTATAACAAGATAAAGTTTAATGTTCAGGCCTTCATAGTATCTTTTTTTTTTTATGGATGTTGACAAAAATGAAATAATAAAATTTATTTATTTTTTAAGTCCTCTTCAGACAAGTTTGATAAATGCTCCCTAGACTCATTCCACTTTTAAAATTATCTTGCATGCCAAAATCGTACTTTACCACTTCTAAACAGATACTTGGTTTGTTAACATGGTTATGAGGCAAAGAAGTCAGAAGTTTAACAATTATGTAGACATTGTCCTGTTTCAATCATAAACGTCTTATCATCATTGGAAGAGGCAAAGAATAACTCGAAATGAGCACAGAACAATCAGATGAATATCTGAGTATCATAAACAAGGCACTACAACAATTCAATCTGAAAAGGTATAATAGGCTTGCAAGTTGCAACTAATAGAAAATAAACAATAAACACAAGAAATAAAAGAATGAATGCAAGTTTTACCAACTTCAAAAGCTAAAACCATAAGGCTTCTCATTATTTTTCCGAATGAACCAAAATGAAATTAAAAAGAATGGATAGGTGACAATTGTTTCCTTTATGTGGATTCCTAGACCTGATGCATACACCTTAGAAGAAACCTTAAGCACAACTAGGGCCAAGAAATAACACAATTAATAGAAAAGTCCTCTGCACTCTATCAAAGTAAAAAAGACATGTACAGAAGTGACATCCTGATTGCACTGCTATAATCATTCTATCAATTTTCCATCAAGATGTTCTATAGGATTGTTCCTGTACAGCTTCAACAATTTAAACTTAAAGGAGCAATTTAAGCTTAACAAAACAACTTAGTCGATTTGTAGATTAAGAAGAATGGCCTTTCATTCTGGTGATATATTAGACATTGAGCAACTAAAACAACTTGATCCATAAAGTCTGCGGCACATTCAACCAAAAGGAGAATTACCTTTAGGGCAATACACAAGGAACAATCTCCTCATATGTAGCAACTCATTTTTATGTATCCAAAAGGACTTAAAGAGAACTGGTTAGTCCTGAATAATTCTCTAATTGCATTCCTTGTTAGAAAGCTCTCATATCCTTCTTCAATCCCTTGTCAGTTCAAAATTTTTCTGTTCAGTATTTTTCTAACTAAATGTCTTCTATGTCAACACATAAAGCATTCATTTCACATAAACGAATTTACTGATCGTTAAAATCTTGTACAGATGCTAACCTAACCTAATACCAAAATTTGCAACCTTATTGCAGTCTGGCTGCCATTCATGAACAATGTCTACACCAATAACCATATCCCATGTCTCCTTAAGTGCATTTGAGAACTTCATGACAATCATTGAAGCCATGTCACTGACCAAATATGTATATTACGACCAATTAGGGGAAATCAAGCAGTTATAGGAACCTATGCAAGTCTTGCTCTCGCTTACTATGATGGACAACCAGATATTACCTTCAATGCAGCTAAAAGAGGGATCCAAGTTGTGCAGAAAAGGTCCACTTGTGCACCTCGCAGTGAACAATTTTCTTGATGAGAGGGAATTGGAGATTTCATGATCTCTAACTATAGCACATCAATCATCCAGTCATTGACATTTAAAACAGTGAATACTTTATTCATGGGATTTGAGTTTAGTTAATTCTTCTTTATGATCAGATATAAGAGATCATGAAAACATAAATAGGACTTCTCCATTTCCTATCTTGATTATGATGGGAATGTAATTGATGCTTGTTCAAATCAATAAGATCAGAATTCCAAGGATTGACATGCAGCGATTCTACAGTGAGGAATGGATCCAGCATTTTAACCTTGTTTCCGCTTTCATATCTCTTGTTCCCATCTTCTTTAGTTGCAGTTATTACTCATTTTTCATCTTATTTTAAAGTTTCCAGTTCAAAGGTAGATGCAGAATGAAACTCTATATTGTGTTCTGATTTCTTTCCTCCACTTGAAAATTGACTGCATAAACTAAAGTTAGCAACTGGCCATAAAAAAAAAATCTACTCCTTTCTTAAACATCTCCTAGATGTATCCTAGCCCATAGAAATCTGAGGTATATTCAACCTTATCCTGAACCTACTGTCACTTTTGCAACATGTTACACTTGAACCCTGTTGCTAGAAAATCATGATGCCTTAATTTCAGCTCCAAAATTTGTCAATAAGCAATAGATTACTTAATGGTTGTTGCATATCAATTCCTCCTTGAGTGTTCAACTTTCATGACGTAATATTAGTTGAAACTCAAATATAAATAGGAAAATAAATATTTGTTCAATTGTTGACGACTAGTGAACTAAGTATTTGCAATCAAAATAATATATTATATCAAATTTCCTAGATAACAAACCCCACGAGGCCTAAAGCGACAACAATTATCAACACAGGAAAAAGATCAAGACCATATTCGTTGCTCAAACTAGATGATCTAGGTCTAGATGCATCAGCTTACAACAACTAGGGTCAACAGTTTGTGATCTTGAGTAGGTTTCCTCCCAGCAAATCATTAAGCCTTATCAACAGTCATGTAAGACTAACAAGATCCAATTTCGATAGCATAATTGCAAAATTATCATCATGGACATGTCTCCAACTCAATAAAACCACCAAATAATAACATAATATCTTAAAATTCCAAAAAACATAAATTGAGATAAACATGTGGAAGATAAAGAGAATAGAACAGAAATTTTTTCCTTACTTGCGCAGGGCAGGGGCCATTTTGTTAGTAAGGGTTCCGGCGACGATCATACAGTCGGACTGGCGTGGGCTTGGCCGGAAAATGACGCCGAATCGATCGAAGTCGTAGCGCGCGGCGCCGGCGTGCATCATCTCGACGGCGCAGCACGCGAGACCGAAGGTCATCGGCCAGATGGACCCGCGGCGAGCCCAGTTCATCAGATCGTCCACCTTGGAGATCACGTACTCCGCGGTCTTGGAGAGGCCCGTCGGGGACGACGCCGAGGGGGGCGGGGCCCGGGCATAGGGGGCAGGGGAGGGGGAGGCGCCAGCGGCGGTGGAGAGTGGAGCCACCGCGGGGATCACGGCCGCACGCTGGGCGGACAGGAGCGCCTGGCGCGCGGTCCGAGGCAGCAGAGCCATCGCATCCAAGGATTAGGGTTCGCTCCGAGGAGGCGAGAAGATTAGCGAATCGTGGGAGTACGGGAGGAGGCGATGGGGAAAACGAATTAATTTGAAGGAAAATGGACCGATCAAATGTATTTTGACGAGACTACGTCGGTTACCGGGCTTGTGATTGGATCTAATGTTCGGGGCCCACGTCAAGCGTGAGACACGTAGGTGAAAGAAAAGTCATAAATTATTACCATAAACCTATTTAATAAGAAACGTCGAAGCCATACCATCCCAGTCTACTTAATGGGGTCCACAGTGGAACTCAACCATAGACAATGAGTGGTCGAGTAGAGAGGAAAACGGAGTTGTGTGTGATCATCGATGTGTATAAAAAATTTATTTTGATAAGATTAGAATATTAAGATGAATATATGAATTTAATTAAAAAGATGAATAAAAAGATACTCATAAATAATTTGTTATGACTATGATAGAGAGTAAAATAAAAATTATTTAAAATGATATCGATATATGCAAAGAGATCTATAAATAAAATAATTTATATTCGTCATCCTAAGAGAAACAGAGAAAAGATTAAAATGAAGATTCTCTCACAAACTATAAATAAAATAATTTAAATAAGTAATATTATTTCGTACAGAGGCAAACCATTGGTAAGAGATTTAAATTTTTTTACTTGTGCGTAAAATTTCATATCGTATTATTATATTATAATAAATAAGGAAATTATGGCAAATTAGGTGCTGTGGTGTAGTGGTTATCACGTTAGTCTTACACACTAAAGGTCCCCAGTTCGATCCTGGGCAGCATCATTTACCTTAATTTAGTAAGTTTATAAAATTTTAAACTTATTTTTAAATTTAATTTATATATATATAATTTTATATAACGGATTTTTTTAATAATTATTTTATCCTCATCAACCATGGCCTTCTCACAAGGATTATGGGCAGCATAATGAGAATTACCTGCAATGATGCAAGGTGAAGGCAATACGAGATCCAAGAAAAAAATATTTTAAAAAATTTACTATGGATAAAATGATTTTTTTCATATATGCTGGATGCTCTACAAGAATTTTTTTCAATTTTGAGACATTCTCAAACTTAAGAGGTTTTTTTCGAAAAAAAAATTTCTTTTATTTTTTATTTTATTATATATATATAAAGAAAATGCTTATAAATTTGAGAATTTTCTATCGAATGCCTCAACTTTAACAAATTCTGATAAAACACCTTTTTTTTCTTGTTTTAATAATTATTTTATTCTTGACCTTTATAGAGTCTATTGTTGCTTATGCTCGTCGATTACCCTTATGCTCTTATGTTGTCTTGAGCATTCAAGTTTCACGAGTGATGACAATGACAATTGTACCCATTCCTTTTCGACGAGACGGTTGCGAGCCCAAGTGTGTTAAGGCGGGGTTGATGCAAACAATGACAAATATGAAAAAAAAGAAAAAAGTAATTCTTTAAATTTGCTAAAGGCAAAATGACTTTTTATCCTTATTTTTGGGAAATTTTCAATCAATACTCTCGATTTTATTTTTCTCCAAACAGTATCTATAATTTTTAAACTATCCAGATTACCCCTCAAAATTTTTTCACATTTACAGTGTTTTGGTTTGTGATAGTATTTTTGACTTGTTATAATGTTTTGATCACTACAATAAAAAGTTATTATAAGACTTACTTGAAAAGACTGTAAATAATCTAAATAAACCACTGACATTAACCAAATACAACTTAAAAAAAATTATATCGTAATAACGTACAAGCAATAACAACCAATAAGACGTAATATGATATTACTTATAATATTTTTCATTCAAGACATCAATAAAACACCGTAAATGCCGTTGAAAAATAATGTAAACAAAATAAATGAAAATAAGCAAAAACAAATTAGTAAAAATACTCATAAATAATTAGAATATTAAGATGAATATATGAATTTAATTAAAATGATGGATAAAAAGATACTCATAAATAATTTGTTACGACTATGATAGATAATGAAAAAAAAATTTAAATTGATATCGATATATGCAAAGAGATCTACAAGTGCCATGGTTAAAATGGATAAGACAATTGGTATTCATCATCCTAAGAATAACTGAGAAAAGCTTAAAAAGAAGACTCTCTCACAAACTATAAATAAAATAATTTAAATAAGTATATTATTTGGTACAAAGGCAAATAATTATAAGAAATTCATATAATGTAATTAAATAATAAACCGACAAGATGCTGTGGTGTAGTGGTTATCACGTTAGTCTTACACACTAAAGGTCCCCAGTTCGATCCTGGGCAGCATCATTTACCTTATTTTAGTAAGTTCTTTAAATTTAAACTTATTTTTAAATTTAATTTATATATATCATTTGACATAATAATTTTTTTAAAAAAATAATTATTTTACCCTCGTCGACTATCACCTTTTGCCCTTTGTCGAAGACAAAGGTATAATAGTGAGCCCTCTCATAAGGGTTATGGGTAGCATGGTGAGGGTTGCGTGCGATGATGCAAGATGAAGGCAATAGGAGATCCAAGAAAAAAAAAAATACTATGAATGAAATGATTTTTCATATGATATTTTACAAAATTTTTTTCAATTTTGAGACATTCTCAACTTTAACAAATTTTGATAATTCACCCTTTTTTTTCTTTTAATAATTATTTTACCCTTGACCTTTATAGAGTCCATTATTACTTATGCTTATCGATTACCCTTATGCTCTTATGTCGTCTTGCTTGAGCATTCAAGTTTCGAATTGTGAGTGATGACAATGACACTTGTGCTCATTCCTTTTCGACGAGAGGGTTGCAAACGAAGTGTGTCAAGACGGGGTTGACAAAGGCAATGACAAAAAAGAAAAAGTAATTATTTAAATTTGCTAAAGGAAAAATGATTTTTTATCCTTATTTTTGGGTAATTTTCAATCAATACCCTCGATTTTAATTTTCTCCAAACATTATCTATACTTTTTAAAATATCCAGATTACCCCTCAAAATTTTTTCACGTTTATAGTGTTTTGGTTTGTGATAGTATTTTTGACTTGTTATAATGTTTTGATCACTATAATAAAAAAAATATTATAAGACTTACTTGAAAAGACCATAAATAATCTAAATAAACTATTGACATTAACCAAATACAACTTAAAAAATATGATATTGTAATAAAGTACAAGCAATAACAACCAATAAGACGTGCTATGATATTACTTATAATATTTTTCATTCAAGACATCAATAAAACACTGTAAATACCGTTGAAAAATAATGTAAACAAAATAAATGTAAATGAGAAAAAAAAAATAAAAATACTCATAAATAATTATAATATTAAGATGAATATATTGGTTTAATTAAAAGGATGGATAAAAAGATACTGATAAATAATTTGTTGTGACTATCATAGATAATGAAATAAAAAAAATATTTAAATTGATATCGATATATGCAAAGAGATCTACAAGTGCCATGGATAAGACAATTGGTATTCATCATCCTAAGAGAAGCTGAGAAAAGCTTAAAAAGAAGACTCCCTCACAAACTATAAATAATATAATTTAAATAAGTATATTGTTTGGTACAGAGGCAAACGAATCCACAATTTCTTAATATATTTTAAGAAATAAAGGTAACTGTCACAAATTAGATGCTGTGGTGTAGTGGTTATCACGTTAGTCTTACACACTAAAGGTCTCCAGTTCGATCCTGGGCAGCATCATTTATATTATTTTAGATTTTTTAATATATATATATATATATATATATATATATATATATAATAGGGAATTTGAGGAAAAAATATTTTTTAAAAAATCTATCAAGGGTAAAATGATATTTTCATACATTACTAGTGCACTACTATATTTTTCAAAATTGGAACATTATTTGAAAAAATATCAAACTTTCGAGCTTTTTATGAGAAGTTTAAAGAAATATATAGTGAGTTTTCAAAAGAAACTCATAAATTTGAGAATTTCCAATAAAGCTCCCCAACTTTAAAAAATTTTAATAGAATGACTTTATTTTTTTAAATAACCATTTTACCCTTAGTCCTTACCGAACTCGTTGTCGCATTTGCTTGTTGATCGCCCCTGTGCTCCTTCGCATAAGCAGTCAGGTTTAGAGCTATGAGTGATCACAGCAAACCCTTGCGCGAGGGTTACAAATGACAATAAAGGATTTTTGTGCAAGAGCAATAGGTAGCAAGTGTTGTGGGCTCTTGCATGAGGTTGCAAACAGTGATAGTAACACTTGCGACCATTCCTTCCTCGTAGCAGGGTTGTAGGTAAGGTATGTAAGAGCAAGATCAATGGAAGCGATGATAGATATGGTAAAAAAGAAGAAGCAATTCTTCAAACTTACTAGGGGTAAAATGACTTTTTATCCTTATTTTTGGATAATTTTTAATCAATACCCCTAATTTTTTTTTTTCAAACAATACCCTTAATTTTTAAAATACCCAAATTACCCCTAAAAAATTTTCACCTAAAATATAGTGTTTAGGTTTATGATAGTATTTTTGACATGTTGCAATGTTTTGATCGTTACAATAAAAAAAATATTATAAAGCCTACTTGAAAATACTGTAAATGATCTAAATAAATTCCTGACGTTAATTAAACCAACTATAAGCTTAAAAATATGATATAGTAATAATTTATGAGTAATGACATCCAACGATATAATGCCACTTATAATATTTTTCAACAGTATATATAATATTTTTAATACATCAATAAAACACTGTAAATATTATTGAGAAACACCATAAACAAACTAAATGAAAACACCGATTGAAAATTGATATAAAAAAAAACGAGCGAAAAATTTTAATGAAAATATTTTTGAGGGATATTTTAGATTTTTAAAATTTTAAAATATTAATTTTAAAAATAAAAGAATGATATTTTTAAAAACAAATAAAAAAATGAATATTTTCTAGAGAAATATCAAATTGCCATTTGATCAACAATAATTACCTGTTCCCATGAAGGAAGGTCGCCCTGCGCCGTCCATCTCGTGGACCCGCACCATCCAAGATCCAATGAAGACCGTCGATTTTTGGGGCTTTTCTGTAATCCGGCGGTTTTGGAGCCGGACTTGAAGGGTAAGCCTTCAATACGGTTGAACGCGTGGCGGGGCGGCACTTGAGATCCGCCCTCCACTCCCCTATTTAATTTCGCTTCCCACCAAATTTAAAGCACGTAGAGAAATAGCGGAAGAAGAAGAAGGAGCGATTGAGAGAGACGATGTCGTGGCAAACGTACGTCGACGAGCACTTGATGTGCGAGATCGAGGGCCACCATCTCACTTCGGCGGCGATCATGGGCCAGGACGGCAGCGTCTGGGCGCAGAGCGCATCCTTTCCTCAGGTCTTGCCCACCCAATCCCCTTCCGATTCCATCGTTTGCTGGATCGCCAGCCAGTCACTTTTTTTTCACTCATCTTGTTCGATCTTAATCGAATTCTCGATGCATTTGATGGTTTTGGTGCATTGATTCGGTTTGTTGATTTGACGTATTCGGGATATCAAGGGATTTGTTGCTCCATGATTTGGTTGGATCTGTTTGTGATGATTTGGCATGAAATCTTTCTGACACGTGGTTCGAATTTTGGATTTTGATATGATTCTATGTTCTGTGAAGATTTAACTGGGTTTGGATACTACCGAATTGGGTAATGCAGTGATGTCAGTGTTCTTTACATTGGGATGCCTAACACGTAACTAAATTCTGTATCAGATATATCTGGGAATTTTGAGATTGCAATAAAATTTACGCACCCAGTATGTAGCTTATAATTTCTAGCATTTCTATTAACCTAGTCTTACATGTTTTGCCCTGAAATTTGCAGATGATATTGTTACTGGACAAATAGGATTTTGCTAAACACTTCCTCGAAATCGATTGCATTAAATAATGCATTGTGTTGGCGCGTTGGATTGAGTGAATTTATCTAGTGAACAATACGCTTTATGTCAGTAAGTCTAAGAAGATCTACTTCTGATCACATTAAGGGAACTGTAACTTGTTGAAGACAAAATTAATTAGGACCCCAAACCAGTGTCAGGTGCCATCTATAATAGCTATTTTTCTTTTCCATTAATGTCTAGCATGATTATCAACTAAATATTTAAAGGTTGCTCCTTTGTGACCTGAGAGACCTTACATTGATGTACTGGGTACATCTTTTATGATTATCAAAATCTGATTTTGTTCAAATATAAAGTTCTTTTTTGCATGATATCTTATTAATCTAATTGGTTGTTCATAAAGTGCCATCATCCTAACCTAGTTTCATTTGGTTGCAACTCCAATTCTTTAAACTAGTTAAATGGCATCCTCAAGATTGTGATTTGGAATTTCGTTTCTTGCTTCATGTTGCTGCATAGTTTGTAAGCCTACAAAACTTCACTAGATCAAGGCTTATTATTCATGTTGCTGCATAGTTTGGAAACCTACCAAAATTCACTAGATCAAGGTTTACATAACAGGTAGTGATAGCAATTTTTGACATTTTATTTACGATTCATTTCTTATTGGTTTCATTTGTATAACAACTACAGCTACTAGTCCTGCCAATATGCATGTGAATGCTTGAAATGTTTTCCTTTCCCCACTGATTGTTTTTCTTAAACTTTTTAACATGATGTTTCTATTTGTTTCCATTTTTCAGTTTAAGCCTGAGGAGATCACCAATATAATTAATGATTTCAATGAACCTGGAACGCTTGCTCCAATCGGCTTATTTCTTGCTTCAACAAAGTACATGGTCATTCAAGGAGAGCCTGGAGCTGTAATCCGTGGAAAGAAGGTGACATTTTTCGTTTTTAATATGTCATTATCTTGTAGTTCACATTAATGTATGGAAATGTATGGAAATTTTATTATACAAAGTCAATTATTTATCTGAATAAATTTGTGCATTCTTCTTGATGATTTCATAGCTTCACATTACATGAGAATAATGGTAATTCCTCTTTTGGTTGTCTTTCACTTGATTGGAGAACAAGATGGCATATTCTATAAGTGAAAAATTTTAGCTATGCTACAGTTTATGCATGTGGTCTTTGGAGATTGCCAATCTGAGGCCTTAAAAAATAGTTATCTATATTATTATGATCATGTCGGTAATAGCAACCTAAAGTGGCTACATTTATGTTTTATATGCACATATTTTTGTTGGTTGCTTTCTGTGGTGGCTCAAGTTCACGCTGTTTGCAATTAAAGATTTGTCTTGGATTGAGAGTTAATGGTGTTTTCATCTCATCTTTGGGTACTTCATCACCATCTAGACTCTAAACATCGAGAAAACTGTTTTGATTCTTATTCTTGATCTTGAAACTACATATTTCATGAAATTGTAATAATTTGCTTGACATATGGTCCTTTTACTTTCTTGCCATACCCTTGGACTCCAAAAATCACTCCGTAATACATTTCTGCTCTTGGCTTCCACTAGCCATGCATCCTGTTGCTGCAATGAACTCATTGTTGATGATTATCGATGGTATTTTAAGAGGAATATGCAGTTCAGATGTACTGAGTTTGATTGGTTTCTTATAGAATTTACAGAATGTGTTGAAAATTCAAATTTATCTAGAATTTTTTCAAGTTATATATTTTAGAATTTCTTGGTCCAAATAATTGAAACTTGAGGCCTCTAGTAGTTTGATCTTTTAAATTGTTTTGCTATCACTGTTCCCATGTTTCTTTCAAACCAAAATGGGTTTGCTTCATGGTCAACGTTCTATTAGCATTTTCTTATACTTGAGGCCTCTAGTATTTTGATGTTTTAAAGTGGTTTGCTGTCTTGTTCCCATTTTTTTTTTTTCAGAACCAAAATGGATTTTTGCTTCATATCCAACCTTCTATTAGCATTTTCTTCTCAGCAATAAAAGATGCATTTTATGTATCTAGAGTAGCTCGGTCTTCTAAATGCAAAACTTAAGGAGTGTAAGAAGCTCATAGTGCTTGAATGATTATTTTCAGACATTCTTAGGTTTTTGTGAAGTGAGAAAATCTGTATGGACACTGCATCCTATTTTCCCAGGAACATCAATTCCTGAAAAGCTTGCAAAGATTGCTTATGGCGGCATTTTTATCATCGTCATGCTGCTGTTGTACTTTTGTCTCTTGACAAAGTCTTGGCCCAGCTCACGGTTTTCCTTGTGTTACACTTGTTTAGTGTTAGTTTAAGGAGACTATAATTTCATACTGCTTAGCAATTGAGGTTCTGCAATAATTTTCTCACCAATGGCAGGGATCTGGAGGCATCACTGTGAAGAAGACTAACCAAGCTTTGATTTTTGGAATTTATGACGAACCAATGACTCCAGGCCAGTGCAACATGGTTGTGGAGAGGCTGGGTGATTACCTCATTGATCAGGGCCTGTAGTTCCGCAATCAAAACATGCCTCCCTCTGTTTACCTACAAATGGAGATGTGAAATTTTCTTCATTTCCGTGATTTTTGGAACAACCAGGGTAATAATAATTCCATAAACAGACAGGAATATCAAAGTCCAGAGTGCCTTTGTCCCTTTGTTGTCCTCAAATCATATGCCATATGATGAATTGGACTTCTTGGATTCTCGGTGTATGCTCTTGATTTTTTGTCTCCCAATCTTTATCAATAAGCTATTCTTTGAGCACACTTGAAGTATTACACTTTATTGAGTTTGCCTGTCAATAATGAGTTGATGATGCAGAAACAATGCTTACTGCTTATCATATGTTCCATTTAGCCTAGCAAACAAATGCTACTGCATGTCTGCTTTTAACCAGTAGTTTGAAGGCTCTGATTCAAATAACAAAGCATCATTACAGATTGTGTTCAACCTCTCAACTTTGCATTCTGATGCAAAGCTAAAATGGAATTTCATTCACTTCTCCCAAGTTATGAGCAAACACAGATTTTGTAAACTGGATATGTGGATTAGTACAAGTCAACTTCAGTGTATAATGGTGGCCTGCTCCTATTGTGGTTGATGTATGTTCATTATCATTGTACGAACTTGTGCAAATTATTATTGAGCCAAAAATATTAACCTTGAGTCTAAAGATGATAGTAGATACTATTTTATGATATATATATATATATATATATATATAGATAGATAGAGAGAGAGAGAGAGAGAGAGAGAGAGAGAAGAGCTACTGACAAGAACATCAAAGGTCCAAAGAGAGAAAGATGAGACTTGAGAACTCCAAATTAGGCACACAAATTTGTGTGAATTCAACAATAGCCTTATTTATTCCCTTTGCAATGCATTCATTGTACAATGAAAGAATCACTACTCATCAGCCCTTCAAGAGATGGCAATGCATTCAACAGGCACATGCATGCTATGTGAACTGCCTTCTCCAACAACATCAAGCTTTGTTATAGCTGATACCATCATTCATCCCTCAAGGAATCTGGTCATCCTTAGGACGGAAGTCCTCACACGTCGAAGATCCCAGCCTTTGAGCGTTCTCCCGTTTCCGACGAACACCGAGAAGGCCATCTTGTCGCCGGCGATCCTCTCAGCCACAGTAACATGCGGTGGGATCATCGCTCTCATTGTACTACTATCATTGCCATTACCATCATCATGCATAAAGCTGGCCTGAGCTTTTGCAGGGATCTCGATTGGGCCAGTTGGTTCCCTCGGAACTCCGTGCCAGCCACGCCATGGCACGGTGGCAGCAGTGCCGTCGTAACGACTGTCGTGAGGCCACAAGATGTCAGCCTCCTGGAACTCCTCCATCATGTCAATGGTAAGGAGATGTGGAAGGAGATTGAGTTGTATTTATAGAGGCTTTTGGCAGGAGGCCAATTATGAGTCTTTGTGAGCACACTTCTCAGACTACTACTCTCTGCATATCAACAGAATTGTTTACAGGGAAGCTTCTTAATCTGTTCTTTAACTGTTGAGGAAACCATTAGTCTTGGTGTTTACTTCTTCTCATTTATGATCAAACTGATGTCTAATGGAAATCTATTGGAGATTATGGTTGTTAGAATTTGTTGGATTAGGATTTAGGTAGTGATGAAAGTGACAAGAAACCAAATTGACATGGATTCAAGCCTACCAGAACTAGCTAATCAGGTAGCTGTTCTATATCACTGTAGCTTATAGATTCAAAATATGAGGGATTTTGACTGCATAAGTTTGCTCTACTTAATCTAAGTTTTGTTAGACTGCGGACTCCTAATTAACCTAAGTACTAAGTCTTAATGGTGAAAGAACAGAGATGAGAATTGTTGCTGATACTGAGTTCCAATTTAGGTAGATTGACTGCTTGTTAGCATTACTGCACATTCTTGCCATTACTGTTGAGTAGACAAACATGATGAGGCAAGATTTAGCTGCTTGTTTTAGATGTTTAACTTGCATCCACCATTCTATAAACTTCAAGTTACAACCAAAATGAAGATGTCAATTTACTTGCAGCATGAAGAAAATGGCAGTTCAGTGATCTAAATGTTCTTATTGACAAGAAATGATGTCAATTTTGATGTAGGGATTTGGAAGAAAATTAGTTTTAATTCTCTTAGGGTTTTTCTATATTAGTTCTAGAGAAATTTAAGAAAAAATCTTTAAAATTTAGATGAGAATATGTACAAGAGGCATTGAACCTGGATTTGAATTAACTTAAAAATATTATTATTCTTACAGTGAAGAATCCAAGTTTTTCTTTATAGATATAATAACGAGTATATATCTTGTTTTAGAAAGACATACCGAGTGCACGAGACTCCCGTCAATATAAGGTTGATGGAGGATTTACATAATCTCTTAATTGTTTTTTTTATATCAAAGTCTTTTTCACTTAAATGATGTCTGCCAACTATCAATTCCAGATGAAAAAGCCAAAACAATTCATGTTTATGAAGTTGAAGCAACCATTCTTACAATCTATATATCTTTGCTTCTAAAACTTGGATTCCATTGTTTGATACAAGCCATGAGAGACAATGCTTGCAACTGTGAACTACCTCAAAGAACACCTTCTGAGTGCCAGTTCTTAGGGTTCTTGTTTGCATTTGTGTGCTCAAATTGACCCCCACTAATTTGCTGTTGTCAATGGCAAAAGGATGAAGCAAGAACATGAGATTTGCCACAGGAATGATGCTTGTGAGGAAGACTATAAATCCACATAGTTCTACTCTCTCATATTGGTGATACAGTAGTGTTTGTGCCTTTATCCTTTCCTTAACTTTCTATTGTTTTTTATCCTTCCCTTTGATTCAATAGAAATGAGGTCAGATTCTGTATTAGGTTGCATCTGATCTTGAGGGGACTAGAAATATGATTTTTAGAAAATAATAATAATAATAACAGTAATAATAATAACAGTAGTAATAATAATAATAATAATAATAATAATCTTCAATACAATCCAATAGTGACACAAAACATGCAACACTTTTGAGCAAGAACAATATTACACCGAACATGATACTTCAATCTTTCAGTGGCCCCTTCAATCATCTTCTTCGTTTCCTCGACTGTCGCCGCGCTTCCTTCACCGCCTGCACCACCATCGAGGAGTTCGAATTAGAACTCCACTTGCAGTGTTGTCAGAGAAGCATGCAAAGCATCGAACACTACTACTGTTTCTTACTGCTTTGACGACTCTCTCGAGAGCTTCTGCGCCTTGTCGGTCGAGGTATCGCTCCACCGATCTACTCGCGTCGAGGCTCAGCATCTGCATCACTCGCCTCTTCAGCCCCATGTAGGCCGAGCCGACGTCGACGCCGGTCCTGACGTACCTCCGAATGTGGTGGTTCTCGTGGATGTAGGCAGCTCCGTCGAAGCAAGGAAGCACCAACCAGATGCAGAACACCACCTTCAGCTCCGGCCAAAGAGTAAACCTGTAAATAGATTCCTTATTACTCTAATAATATTGATCGAACTCCAATTAAGATTATAAAACAGATCAAAATGTGATGAAATTAAACAATGATAAGTGATGAGAATGAGATTTCTTGTTGTCAATCGATCAGAGTCTTCGCTGACATCCTCTAAGACATGTCGGATGAGAGATCAGTGGTGTGCAAGTGAGTGTTACTGCTGCAAGACTCTCCAGCAGGAGAGCTCGAAGAGTGTGATGAGCGCGTAGAGGACCCAATAGGTCAGCCACTTCTGGTAATCCACCGGCGAAGGATACTTGATCGCGAGCATCGATGAGAATCTGAATCCAAACCAGCATCACTGTGAGTACTCCAACTCTCTTCGATGACCTCTTCCTCACAAATCACAAGAATCGCAGTGCCACTTACAGAGGATAAAGCAGCATCACCGCTGGGCTGACGCACACATCGAGCAAAACCTTAGTTATCCGTCAACATAATGTACATTCTTTACATGTTCTTACTGCGTCTTACCCGATCAATGTGTCGACAAGCTTCGCCATGGTCACGAGAATGCTCATCTTTCTCTTCACTGTGCTAGCGATCGGAGTTACGGATGGTGAAGGAGAGAGGTTTCTGGTGGAACTCTTAAGGAGCAAGTGGGAGATGCTTACAAGAAAGGCATGACTGATGCCCTCGTTCGAAGTCTTCTTTCCTCCATGGCCAAGAAAAGGAGCTTAAGGTCCAGGAGAAGACATCCATGTCGGATAATGGAGAAGACAGCCAGAGAAGGAGTAATAACTTCGCATTATATTTCATTTAAATTCTTATCGATTGAAAAGATATCATTAATAAATGATTGGACCAGTTGGTTTCCTCGGAGCTCTGTGCCAGCCATGCCATGGCACGGTTGGCAGCAGCGCCGTCGTACCGACCGTCGTGAGGCCACAGGATGTAAGCCTCCTGCAACTCCTCCACCATGTCAATGGTAAGGAGATGTGGAAGGAGATTGAGTTGTATTCATAGAGGTTTTTGGCAGGTTGCCATTCTGAGGCTAATTATGAGTCTTTGTGAGCACACTTCTCAGACTGCTACTCTCTGCAGATCAACAGAATTGGATACAGGGAAGCTTCTTAATCTGTTCTTTAACCGTAGAGGAAATCATTAGTCTTGGTGTATACTTCTTCTCATTCATGATCAAACTGATGTCTAATGGAAATCTATTGGAGATTATGGTTGTTAAAGGTTATTTTTACCAGATTTTGTTGGATTAAGATTTAGGTAGTGATGAAAGTGACAAGAAACCAAATTGACATGGATTCAAGCCTAATCAGGTATCTGTTCTACATCACTGTAGCTTATAGATGCAAAATATGAGGACTTTTGACTGCATAAGTTTGCTCTACCTAATCTGAGTTTTGCTAGACTGAGGACTAAGTCTTATGGTGAAAGAACAGAGATGAGAATTGTCGCTGATACTGAGTTCCAATTTAGGTAGATTGACTGCTTGTTAGCATTACTGTTGAGAAGACAAACATGATGAGGCAAGATTTAACTTGTTGTTTTAGATCTTTAACTTGCATCCACCATTCTAGAAACTTCAAGTTACAACCAAAATGAAGATGCCAATTTACTTGCAGCATGAAGAAAATGGCAGCTCAGTGATCTAAATGTTCCTATTGACAAGAAAACAGCAGATCAAGTTTTTAGCTTTTAGATAAGCCAACAGTGATTGCTAATTTAAGCTAGTAGATAAGAAATCATCTATCTGATTATATTGTTAACATGCACTAATCTTCCACAATTCTACTCTGATCCAATGAAACTAAAGCTTCAGATCTTGTGTGCTTGATACAAAGCCATAAGCATGAAGGGTTTTGATTGATGTAGGGATGTGGAAGAAAATAATTTGAATTCTCTTAGGGTTTTTCTCTATTAGATCTAAAGAAATTTACGAAAAATTCTTTGACGTTTATACGAGAATGTGTACAAGAACTTTTGAACCTGGAATTGGATTAACTTAAAAGATTATTATTCTCACATAAGGAAGGAAGAAGAATCCAGGTTTTTCTTTATAGATGTAATAATGAGTTTGTGTCTTATTATTGATTCTCTTAATTGTCTTTTTGGTATGAAAGTCTTCTTCACTTATGATGAAAGAGTCAAAGCAATTCATGTTTCTGATGTAAAAGCAACCATTCTTGCATTCTCTGTCTCTGCTGCTAAAACTTGGATCCCATAGTCTGATAGAAGCCATGAGAGACAATGCTTGAAACTGTGAACTTTGCAATCTGCCTCAAAGAACACCTTCTGAGTGCACTTGTGTTGCCAATGAAAACAACAACAGGATGAAGCAAGAACATGAGATTGCCACAGGAATGTTGCATCTGAGAAGAATCTAAATTAACATTCTTCTAATCTTTGATATTGCTGACAATAGTGTTTGTTCCTTTATTAGCTCAATTCAGCAGTTCTCAAGACTCATGTAAAACCAGTTCTGCAGAAATGATAAAATAAGTGAATTCGTCGTATCAATATGAATCAAAATAGAAAATATTGTATGAATAAAAACTTATTCGTATAATATTTCCTTAAGCACTTATGGTTAGGGATCTCGGATTGTTTTGATCAAGTTCTTATCTTCTATTTCTACTATATACAACCATCTACCGAATTATATTCATCACTTAAGTATCGAAGGGATTTTATTCGACAATGATATTCTCTTTAGCTCAAAATTTTTATCGTTGATCATCTTTCCTTGATATTTGTTTTGCGAGAGATGATTGATTATCTTACGATAAGATTTCAAAATTAGGATCAACTCCCATTGTCTCTATAATTTAAATCGAAATCAACTTTTAGACTAACAAAATCATAACAATTGAAAGTAATATGATGGTATAATAATCAATACCCATCCTTTTTCTTTCATTTCAATTAAATCCACCAGTGACACAAAACAGTGTCTCTCATCTTGGATCCTTTCACCAAGAACAACATTATGGCCACATACATGAGAACTCCTCTTGAATCTTTCAGTGCCATCTTCAGCCACCGTCTTCTTCACTTCCTTGACCGACTCCTCGCTTCCTTCTCCGCCTGCACCGTCGAGGAGTTCGAATTAGAACTCCACTTGCAGTGTTGTCAGAGAAGCATTCAAAGCATCAAACACTACGACTGTTTCTTACTGCTCTGACGACTTTCTCGAGAGCTTCTGCGCCATGTCCGTCTAGGAATTGTTCTATCGATCTCCTCGCGTCGAGGCTCACCATCTGCATCACTCGCCTCTGCAGCCCCGAGTAGGTCGAGCCGACGCCGGTGCCGATTCTGACGTACCTCCGGACGTGGTTCTCGTAGATGTAAGCGGCGCCGTTGAAGAAAGGAAGCACCAACCAGACGCAGAACACCAGCTTCAGGTACGGCCACAGAGGAAACCTGCGAATGGATCCCAACTATATCATCCCCAGTTCTTATGAAGAGACTTAATACATCCCCTAACATATGTCCGATAAGTGTTACCACTGCAACACTCTCCAGCAGGAGAGCTCGAAGAGGGTGATGAGCGAGTAGAGCACCCAATAGGTCAGCCATTGCTGGTCATCGACAGGCGAAGGGCTCTCGATCGCCCGCATCGACGAGTACCTGAAATCCAAACCAGTGAGTAACTCCGCCAACTCTCTTCGATGATCTCTTCTTCCTCACAAATCACAAGAATCGCAGTGCCACTTACAGAGGATAAAGCAGCATCACCGCTGGGCTGATGCACACATGGAGCAAAACCTTAGTTATCCGTCAACATAATGAACATTCTTTACATGTTCTTACTGCGTCTTACCCGATCAATGTGTCGACAAGCTTCGCCATGGTCACGAGAATGCGCATCTTGCTCTTCACCGTGCTGGCGATCGGAGTTATGGATGGAGAAGGAGAAAGGTTTCTGTTGGAACTCTTAAGGAGCGAGTGGGAGATGCTTACAAGAAAGGCATGACTGATACCCGCGTTCGAAGTCTTCTTTCCTCCATGGCCAAGAAAAGGAGGGAGAAAGGAGTTGGAAAGCATCCATGTTGGAGACTGGAGAAGGCAGACAGAGGACCAATAACTTCACATTATATTTCATTTGAACTCGTATCCATTTAAATGATGTTATTATCTATCTCGTAAAATTCAACCAAAGCACTGTAGAAAGGAAAACAAATATAGAACACAATAGATTTCCACTCTGACATCGAACTTACATATGCTGCTATGGATTAGAACCAAATTATATGTTGGCAAGAGATCTCTACAAAGGGATAGAACATATGCATCAACAGTTAGTTCACGTAATTTATACTGTGTTATTTTCTATTTACAGGGAGCCATAGCTCAGCCTATTATTTATTCTCCATGACCACAGGAGTGGCAGAACAGACGACATGTCAGAACATATTTACCCGGAGAAACCATGGGAGCATGAATGCTATTACCAAGCAAGCCATTAGGAAATTACAGAAAGGTTGGTGCCTCCAGCAACTGCACCGCTCGGACACATTTCGGTTGCTCGAGTCTCCCCTCTCGTACCACTCGTTCATGAATTTGCTATCGTCCTCGCCGGTGACGTTCTTTGCATTTTCACCGCAAATCTCGCAATACCTGCACCCAAGACGAAAGCTTGTCAATTTGTCCAAACATGATGTTTTGTGATGGCTAGTTTATATTTGCACTTTTAAAAAAATCTTAATGGCAACACTCGACAGCTCGAAGTGGGGAAGACGGAAAAAAATTGGTATGGGTTTGCACAAGAGATCTCATGGCAAGACTTGACTACCAAACACAAAAACATCCATTTCAAATTGCTGGTGCCTTGAGCAGATGAATAGCAACAGCATATAAATAGGTTAGGCATGCTTGAACAACATATGCACGAATAACAGCAAGTGCTTAAGAATATGATGAACAACTTTAATTGCAAAACCATTATTCAATACTGCATCATTCTTGAATCACAAAACCCTAAATGTATGAAGCATAGAAAAGGTCACGATACTCTTCTTTTTTCTTTGGGACTTCTCCCGATACTGTTTCACCAGTCTTTGATCTCCACTACTGTTAAACCTGCCGGTCATCTTTGTCAATAGTGTGTATCATTAGGCAGTGCATCTCCCTCCATAGGAAACACTTAATTACAGAACTTAAACAAAAAAATTCTGTTTCCTAGTGATTTGGCTTTGAAGTTCATTATTTTCAGTTACATAGTATAAAAGAAGTGCAAAACTGAATGAGATTTTACCTTGCTCAGAAAGCTTCTAGAAACCCCTACAAATCACCATCCATCACATATGCTTTTTGCATTCTAAAATATGTTTGCAATGGGATACCAACAGATTATTCAGAGACTGTATCATGTGTTATGAGATAATCAAGAGAGGTGTGTTCACAAGTATATTCAGATTAGCCAAGTGGGAAATAACACAGGAACATAGTGCCTGTGTAGAGACCCTTTTTGGCACCAGAGTACCTACCATGAACCATGTAACAATTTGCCCAGACGGACAGGAAGCATACCAGTCCAGCCATTGACCTGTATGGGCCCGGTACCAGAGATCTAGAACCCTGCTCAAGTTATCGCCCAACTATATTGATACTGGTCGTGGCTTACAGAGAATCTTGGAGTAATTTAATCAAAGTGGATGGACAAAACAGAGGTCGGGGTGAAAGGATGGGTATCTCTCGTTTCCTCTCTGCCACCCCAATCATTTCCCTTTCCTTTCATGATTTTGTAGGTTGTTGGGCCCTCAAGCAAGCATTTCCCTTTCCTTTCAGGATTTTGTAGGTTCTTGGGCCCTCAAGATCTTTTCTGGATCATGAGGAGCTAAGGAAGTTTAGACAAAGAGAATACATACATTGCAAGGATCAGTAGGTTTAAATCATAAAAACAATGTTTTACTGATCAGAACTGTTCTTAAATTAATAATAGAGATCTAAACCTGACTAAAGTTTAGCCTTATCTCCTTACATACCAAGGCATGTCTTATCACATGGATCATCAAGCAAAGTTAAAATAAGCCAAGTCACCTGATGTTACTTCTAATCTTGTATTAATTGGCTCAAATGAACCTAGATCAATTGAAGAAAGATAAAAATATATAAAAGTAAAATAAACAAGAGCAAAGAAAAGTCACCCAGACTAAATGTCCAAAAGACTTTATGATAATCTGGAAAGGATAGAATCTATACTTCAGAGTTTCAATAATGCAAATGATCTTTTGATCAACAAATTTGTTCATACTTCATACATAACAAGAACCATGGAGTCACTCAAAGAAAATTGTTTGTTATGGTTGAAGAAACATGAAAGAAAGGGTAGATGCGAGCGTCCAAACTTTGATTTAGGTGGTATATGGTTATTGAAGAGAATAAATTCTGAGGTAAACTGACTAGCTAAGAGTATAACATAACCGATTCCAGCTACTGTTTGAATAAAATGGCATGATGAAGAGACAGAAGTGGCATGTTTAGTGAAGAAAGAAGAATGCCAAAGGGAAAACAAAGAAGAGACATGAGCATGAAGCATTGAACAACAAAAAGATTATTTTCATTGTGATTTATAAAAATCTGAATGTAAAACTGAGTACGATTATTTAATGCTGCTGTGTTAGCTGAAATCAATAACAAGGTTATGAAGTATTGCCAAATGAGATATATGATACCAGGAATTAATAAGGTCTCAAATTGTAAAGTAACACCAAAATTTGAGCAGAAGGGAAAAGGGTGTTATTTTTAGAACTTAACAATCAAGAGATCGACAATATAATTCAAACCAGCAAGTCATATTGTGCCAAAGTAAAATGTGCAGCCTCTAAAATATCTATTAGCCGTCATCTAACCTAATTGATAGAAGAACAAGTGTAGTTGAGGTCCACCAATAGATAGAATCACAAGAGTACATATCCTTTTCTACAGAAGTGATATGGGATATTGTGTTGTGAGGTCAAAATAATTAGTAATAGTTTGCGTAGCATAGATCTTCTTTTCAGATGAAGCAAAAAACTTAAACCAAAACTTCCTGAAGAACAACCCAAAGGGTGATAAGATTAGAGGGTTTGGTAATAAAAGAAAAGAAATGGACGAAGCTAAGAGTGAGTATGATAAAAAACATTGATTGGCATAAAATTTTATTTAGATAAAAAAAAACAAGTATATCAAACTCAAATGCAAACTGCTTCCAGGAGAAAGAAAGACATTGGGCTGCCCTTCCAACTCACATAACTTATTGAAAAATTGCTCCATGTGTTTCCAACATAGGGTAGCTCCAAGAATGTTAGAATTTTAACATTTAAAGGCACATAGAAATGTAGATGATAGGTTATTTGGGGAAGAGGCAAAAAAAAGAGAGGTAAATGTTGGATGCTCTCCAATTTCTCCAAACTCACATTGGAAAGTGTCGTGACCTCACACCACTCTCATGTTTTTCTGGAAAAATAATCATTCATTCAATAACTCATGACTCCATTACAATACTTTGCCCCTTTTTATAAGCCTCAAGTACAATAAGAAAAGGAAAATCATAACAAGAAAAAAGAAGTATGTAACCATGTCAAGGTAATCAACAATTTAGATCCTTTTTTTCTTTTTGGGAAGATAATTTTTTAGATTTGTCTCGACAAATAATCTTTCCCTTTGATGCTCGACAGTTTTTCATTTTCGTAACTTGGTAATTCTTTCCTTTTTTTTTCTTCATTTACTTCCTTTTTATTCTTCTTGATCAATTCAGAAAATAAAGTAGAGATGTAAAGGATATTGCCATATAGCAACCTATAAGCTTCCTGAAGACCCCTTTATCATACCAAAACTATTCCAAATACAAAAAGGAAAAATGACTAGGGCTAAATTATAACATGTTAGTGGAACCCGAACTTGAGTTCATCACTATTCCAAAAGGATTTGTGTTTGACTTTTCTTCTTTCCACACCTAGTATAGACCCGAGAAGTGTTTCCATTTAGTGTCCTGCCAATATGCAAAGCTAGATTTCGGTTTGGCATCATTGAAGAATAAAACCTCTTCTAAATGGGCTTATACTCAGTTGGAGTAAACCAGTAAGTTCGATGAAACTTATAAATGAAAAGGAATCTGGATGGTTTCTTTGTCATTCTTCAATGGTTTTAGGGATACTATCCATATTTGCAGCTGCACTGCATCTCGGAGAAAGGAGCCCACCATATTCTTGCCATCAAAAAGGAAATAGGAGCAATTAATCTCCAACTCCAAGACATTTTCGACATTGAGAAATAGCCTTTGTTAAGTTCTTTGCAGCAGATGAGAACTCAGACTAACAAGAGGATCACTGTCACTCGATAGTTGATCGCATCATTAGTATTTTATTCATATTGAGTTTTTCAGCTACTAAGACCATAAAGTTAGCTGACGACCCCACTGTTTAATTATAAAGCAAAATTTATAGTACACAAACCACACGCAAATTTATATGTATATGTCATTGTTAGCATCAGCAGATTAGTCTCTCTGAATTATTAACACAGTTCAATGTACCAGAAGATCAGAATCCTCCTAACCAATAATGGTTTAACATTTACTTGTTGAACCCAGAACCTCAACCCCTTGTAATCTCAAGAATCAGCTTATAATAATTGTTTTGATGAAAATTACGATAAATGTTGTTGAAGGGGAAAAATCATAGGAGATGATGATGCTCATCGTTGACAAGAATACACGCACAACAACTGTGGCTTTGTGCTACTCTATATGGACCTTTTTTTAGTTCGGCAAACCTCTGAAATTAAATCCACAGCTTCAGAGTCACAGCAGAGCAAGAAGTTATATAGTTGGCTAGGATATTATCTCTAACATCCATTCCTAATCAATCTTTTAACAAGCTGGGACATATTCATATGACTACTAATTATGCGCTGAAGGGATTGACTGTAGAAGGCAAGAGTTTCTAGGCTGCCAAGTACCCGTGTCCACAGTCTTGAAAAAGTGGATGCAACCCAGAACAATCAGAAGACACCACATTCCAAGAATAAAACTATGAGAAACTAGTCAAAAGATTAGGTCAAAGATGATCAGCTTGACAATAGCAAAAGGAGATCTTTAATCTATCAACAAGTGCAGTGGAGAGAGACTACGAAAAGAAAGAAATGTGTTCAAGTTGCACAATTCCCCTCTCCATGATCCGCAAGAAGCGTGCTTTTAAAGCTGAATCGCACACGCCACTTTGTCATCAAGTTCAGATTAAACGTCACAGCGATCAAAAACTTCAATTTTCTTCACGGGACTCGGCAGTGGAATCCGACAAGAACGTTTAATTGACGATGAATGATATATAGACAAGAAAGTACCTGTTGCCCTTCACCTTGAACCAGGCCTCGGCGCAGTGGCGGTGCGCGACACCGAGCTCGCCCTTGCAACCGCATCCGAGCTGGAACAGCTCGGAGCCTTCCTCAAACCGATCCGGACTCAAATGACAGATCCGGCAGGCCATCGCCGTGTCCCACTCGCTCCCGTCCGCCGCTCCATCGGCTGATCCGCCCACGTCGACGACCACGAAGGCGGCGCCCATCTCCACCGCTGCCCTCTCCTCCAAGGCCACTACAACGGCGGCTTCCTCCGGCGGGCGGGCGACTTCAGGATCCGCCTCACCGCGTTCTTCGCCGTCGTTGCACCAGCACCCGAGCAGGACCTGCAAGGAGACTTCCTGCCCCCGATCCGGGCGCAACTGGCAGATCCGACAGGGCGTCTCCGCGTCCCGATCGTTCCCACCATCCGCCGCTCCATCTGCTGATCCCGCCACGTCCACAACAACGCAATCGCGATTCTCCTCCGCGGGAGGAGCAGCGTCGCCCTCTCTCTTCCCCCCTCCCTCTCCTTCATCCTCTTCCGCCGTGGCCGTCTTCTCCTCCAAGACGGCGGCGCCCGCACCGCGTTGCTCGCCGACTGCCATCGCACCTCACAACCACATTCTCTCTCTCTCGCTCTCTCTCTCGTGCGCGCTGCTATTCACGATCGGATCGCGACGCAAATCGTTCCGGGGAAAACGAAGACGGAGGAGGCGAAGGCCGCCATCTGAGTCACGACTATGAAACCGAAACAGATAGGAAGAGCCAATGAGGTTCGCTGTAGCCGTCGAGTCCAAACAGGAAAAAGACGATGTTGGAATCGAGTAATTGCCGCTGGTCATAACAAATCTAGAATTAGTCAAACACAATCTTAATTACTACCAAATAATTAGATATATATATAGCAAATTGCTCCAACAATAATATTATCATATGAATATGTATTATATTATTTGAGATTACAAAGTATTGTGGCAAATGGATTGGATCAACATGAATGGGAACCAAGAATATTTTCATGCCTTTTTTAAAGTCTATAATTGATGATAAATCCTATCGCATAAATGCCATATCTTATTTTATATGAGTTTATGTAATAGTTTATATTTTATTTATTCTATTATCAAACAGTGACATACATAACTAAATATCATCAGAATAAATTCTCGAATATCTAAAAAATTTTAAATACAAGAAATATAGAGAGAGTACTTTTGCTTAGAATTCACATTTCTCTCTCTTCTTAATGTGAAAGGAACATCACATGAATGACACCATATTATTATATGATTGTGTTTGCTCTCGAATCTTACAGGGATTGATTCAACAAATATAAATAAATACATCGCATCTTTGAATGAATCTAAGAACAGTGCACCTTTTCTGCCTCATTCTCTCAGGTGTTCTACACAAGATGTGCAACACAGTCCAAGCCAACACTGCTGACTATATATAAACTTGGCCTGTTAAAATCTGCATCAAGAACAAATCCAACCTCAAGTATACACGCAATGCAAATGGTCTTGCTGCAGTTATTCAAAGAATCATGAGAAAGAATAATAAATAAAAGAAAATCATAAAAAGAATTACCAGGTGCCTGAAGTGGAGCATGTCATCAGAGGCTGCAACAACAAGAACTATATAGGGATTGCAGGAAAAGAACTGAAAGGTAGAGTAGATCACTAGGGTGAGATTGCCATTATGCATTCCACTGTTTCAAACAACTCTTGGTCAAACTAAAATGGCACTTCCTGGCTGTCTGATCTGAGGAGAGGATTGGAGTTCATGACCATGCCTCGATGAAAAATTTACCAGCCTTCTCCAGTAGCCGGAGCCATCTTGCAGCTGATTCTTTAGACATCCCATTTTCTACTGCAATAATTTCTTCCAGGGTTGATGTCACATCTGCAGGCATCTTTGTGGAGGACCCTGCGATGTATATTGCAGCTCCTGAACTCAGTAGACTCCAAATCCTTTTACTCTCTTCCTTCATCTTATGCTGTACATAGATTTTTTGTGGCTGATCTCTAGAAAAAGCAACAAAGAAGCCGCCACCCTTATCTGCCGATAGCACCCCATCATCTTGGGCTTGCGCCAACCAGAAGTTCTTGTATAAGAAATCAACTGATTGGTTTCTACATCCGAAAAAGAAGAGAATAGGAGATGTTGATCTGGTCAAATTCTGGAGAGCACGTTCCTCAACAAATGCTCGGAATGGTGCACATCCAGTTCCTGGTCCAATGAGAATGAGAGGTAGTGATGGTGGAGGTGGAGGCAGGGAACCTCGAGTTACCCAAGCGGGAATGTGAACTCCTGATCACAAAGAAAATAATTATGATGACTACATCGCCGATTCCGAGCACAATGATTTTATCTTTTATGTACGTACCTCTTCTTTTAAATGGATCAAGTCCAGCTAGCCATGATGAGCAGAGGCCATGTCTCTTTCTCTTAAAAGGAGTAGTCCATGACACAATGCTCACAGTTAAGTGAACTTGATTTGGATGAACTGAAGGGGAAGAGGATATGGAAAATGCTCTTGTTTTTAGTGGAGGGACCAGCTGCACTAACCATTCAAACGGCATCTGCACAGATGGAAAATCCTCTAGTACCTACAATAAGAACTAAAAGCTTCTCAGTAATTCATAATGAGTGAAGAAAGCCTTGACATCAAATCCTTCAAATATCATATTGCACACATAAATGACTCCTTTCAGGATAAACAGCATCATGAACTAATAAAGATCAAATATGCAATTAGTAAAATGGAATTGAAACCAAGTCACAAAATTTATCACCTCTACAACAGTTCTTCGCTCCCTCTGATTATACTGATATAGATCATCCATTCCTTCAGGAGAAGCAAAATATTGAAGCCTCTCCTTCTCATATTCAGCTGTTGCATAAAAGCTCATGACCTAAAGGGCATATGAAAGTGCAGAAAGAAAATCTTCAAACCTCTATGCAGCTAAATTTTGCAAATATACAAGGAAGCAAAACAGTTATCCCTAATTAGAATTGATTTTGGTATTACATATGGACATGGCATGTAATAAAAAAATAAAAGCTTCATTCCTTTGCCCAAGAACAATCTTAGGAATCTACTGTTCGAGAATAGACACTTAACTACACTACTGTACAGCATATAATCTCCATAACATATAAAAACATACTTATATAATACAGAATTTATATCATAGATTAACAAATAAATGATTATGACATGATGATGGAATGTACCCTTAATCTCAGCAAAGTGATACTGTCACAAAGTTAAATGTAATTTATACAAAATATTACATGGATTTGGATCCAACAACATTCATTCAAGCTCAATTCCTATAAAATATCCAAATCCAAAGTACAACCTAAATCAGACTTAATATAAACAACAGATGGTATGAACTGAGCTAGTCACCTTATCTTGTTAAATAGATACCTTGAATCAACCAATCCATGCTTATATAACCTACAAGTGACAAACTAATAATAACAATTTAAGTTACCCCATCTTTCTCCAAGGTTTCCTACTCAGTTCCCATATTACTTAATGACTGCTACTTCATAAAAGCAATCTAAAGCTCTTTCAAGTTACAAAATCCCAAAATTTTCATTTGTCATATAGGCTTCAATATGTAATTATACTAGCATACAAGGCTCTCCGCCCCAACCCTCTCTCTTTCTTTTTCTTTACCTCCTAGGTAGATGATCTGCATTACAAATTAACATAATAGACTAAACTACGTACTGTCTATGTTACTTCTCATTAATTAAACAAACTTACCTCAAAAAAGTAACGCCGAGGAGAAGCTGATGCGACATCCATTGTAAGCTCCACAAAGTTTTTCAGTTTAATAGGGCGCACCAAGCTCTTTATACTTTTGTAGACGGATTGTTTTTCAGTATCCCTAGCCTTGACCTAAAAGATCGCAAGATTGAAACCAATCAGGTCCTATTAATAAAGGAGCATTTCTACCATATATATATAGTCTTTTATCCTTGAGACAACAAATAGAAATTAAGACAGCATTCATGTAATGAGTCAAAACTTCAACATAAACTTTAGATGCTCTCAAATAATGCATCAATGTTGCAAAAGCTGAGAAAAGTGTGGTGTATAAATACTCATGCACACATTCATATGTATGCATATATACATGATATGCATCTACACATATATAAAGTTTTGATATTTATATAATGCTAATACAAAAACATAACACCAAGAAAGAACTACATACTGTGATGTAACAGTTTGGATCTAGGTTACAGCGCTGTATAAATGCATCGACAGCAGCAGGATTTTGGCTTGGTAGAATCTCAAGAACATCACCCACTTGATAGTCAATGACCTAGAATTGTGGCCGCAGATTGATTTTCATTATCCAGGAAATATAATCAAAGTTCCATTTGCACAGAAACTCACATTTGATGAAGCTTCAAATTCAAAGTGACGCACATCTCTACTATGGTCCACATTTGTCAATCGTTGATTAGTTATCTGCCAAGTTACTCACAGTAAGTGTTCCAAATATTAGCAATACAAATTAAAGAAACAGATACATGAGAACTACCAGAGAACCATAAATCCAAGAAGGATGAAAGATACACTATAATATTCATTCAGCAACCAAAGACAGGATATCAATGTATTATGTGGCATACTCCAAGCCAAGATTCGTTGTGTGGATCGGCACATGTCAGCATAGGTGAAAATGTACAATGCTATGGCATTGACAGGTGTCAGATGTACCTACCTACATGGCTAGTTAAATTTTTTAACCTCAACCAACCTGCAAATGGGCATGACAAAAAACATGGCAGGGAATCCTTGCTTCAAGTATGAATTTCTTTGCTTTCAGTACATCCTCAAGAAATGGGTGGTGTGGTAATAAAGTTGCTCCACCCAAGCACGATCGTTCCAAGTTGTGGAACAAGTCATTCAGATGTGGGAGTAAGGCAATGGACTTCAGTCTCTTCTAAAACCAAGCTAATAAATCGACATATTTTTCTTGTGGCACATCCCTGAGTATGAATTTCTTTACTCAAAAGTCAAAATATTCTCAAGTAGAAGACTTGTTTACCAGTAAAGTTACTCTATCCCAAGCATGATGGACCTTAATTTTGGAATGAGTCACTTCACATGTAGGCACAAGGCCATGAATGTGACGTCCCCTAGTCCCACAAGCCCATGCATTAGGCTGCACGTTTCTTGTGATACATTGCTGATTCTATTTAATGGACAGGATTTACACAAATATTAAGTCTGCTTCATGTGTCACATTGAAAACTACCTTTAGGGTTGCATATATCTTATGCACCATAGATCAAAAGTAGTGTAGCTTGGTATGTGATAGGGGGTATCTGACACATGGGCATCTAGACAACACCACATCAATGCCAATCTGACACCAACTAGGACATTCTGTCAATTTGGCACTTCAGCCAAGTACCACATGTGGTCAGCATAACGCACAACAGTGCTAACTACAATGTCGGGTTTAGTCGACTCTTCACATTCAGAAACGCTCGACCACAATCTTTCACACAAACTAACTCTCATTGACTCCCGACAATTATCAAATTCTCCTATAAAAGGCTCAAGTATACTATTTTACACATGGGAGATTCTATAAAACTCTCAACTCTCTGACCCCTCTGAATCCCTGATTATAATGTCACCTTCCGACACTAACTTAAGAATTGGAGAGGGCATGCGCCTGACACAATTTTTTAAGACCCCGGCGAATCCAATCATCACTTGACACCAACCTTGCAACTAGCTTCGAAACCTGATACCTTGGAATCTTGGACAAAAAAATCTGCACAATAGTATGCTAGCCCACCATCATTCTCAAATTCTCAATTATTAGTTGTTCTTTTCAACTACAGAAGTGCATGTGGTAAACATAGTGCATAAGGTGATTATCAAACAAGGAAGCTGAAATAGTTGGGAAGACAAGATCCAAAAGATTCAATGTGCATATTGACACAATATTTGACTCTCGAGTGTAGGTTCAGAAGAGTAACAGACATATTTGAATTTGTTTAATATGAAGGATAATTGATCTCTAAATTTATACCTATAACCAAAGTAGTCCCACGTGTCCATAATGTACATACCTATAACAAGTATGGTAGCCTCAATGGATTATCTAAAACAAGGAATTTAATTTCACCAGGATCAGTCTGTACCGGCTGGTATTTACTGGTCCAAGCATGAACCGAGACACTGCCCCATTACATGCAGCTCAGTTCAGTTTTTTATTCTTTTAATGACAGATCATCCATTGATTTGTTTTTTTATCTTCAAGGCATTGGCCTTTGAGGGCTTGCGAGTCCATCTCCCTTTCCATGTGGCCCGACTGGTGCTGCCCGCCTCATCTTCAATATATGTCATCATGAATCCGACCAATTATCGACCAGAACGGGTCCAGTACCACATTTTGTTGGATTAAACAAATCCTAAAACAATGTTTCCAAATGCAATATCCCAATATGCATATATGCATATGTGGCTGCTTCTGCAGTCTGCATAGACAAGCACATGCAGCCACATATGCAAACACATACAAATATGTGGTGGCCAATTATGAAGTTCACAACTCCATATATGTATGAATATGTGATCAGCCTATGTGGTTTACATTTCTTCCCAAGTGTAATTGTTTGAAGTTTGAACTATTATATTATTCTAATAGTATACATGATTAACATAAATTTTAATTACATACACTTGCATGGGTCATACACCTTATCACTTCAATCTTCATCTTTCCATACTTTAACTAAGACAAATTTTGATTATATTTTTTTATGTTTATATATACAGTTCATGTGCTTGCATATGCACCCCCTCATGCTGCATATGCAACATGTGGTACCATGATCACCTACACGTCAACCATTTTTCAGAAAAATATGGAGCTAAAATAAAATGGATGGAAATTTTCTTCAAAGAATTGAAATCATTCAATCAATTGCAGTTAAGCATGCTCCAAATATCTCTAAACAAGTTAAAGAAAGTAAAACATATATTATAAAGTTTCTTCCTACAAAATGTTAAAATAATATGTGATTTGGTAGCCAAAAAAAATCATATTTTACTATTTTAAGTAACCTAAATTTAAATAAAAAAGTATCAAGAACTACCAGCATTTTCTATAGAATCTATAAAAGACTAATTGATAGATAATATAAATCATACCATATGCAAAAGATACTGTGGCTTCTTATCATGATAATGAAACTGTGCAGGTGACATTGAACATGCACTCTCTATCACCACCTCAGAACTTTCCAGATCTACAACATAAAAAGGTCATGGTTCTTGTCAAAAACAATGAGAACATTTAATTAGTAGACCATAATGCTACATGCTCTGCAACAAAATATAAGCTTACATACTCAATTTAATTTATAATTAGAGAATTTGGCTGAGAGGAAAGATTTAAAAAGTAATCAGCAACAGTTCCAGCCAGCATGATGTAGAATTTGATCCATTCACCTTTCATGACTTACCATATGCAGTTAAATGATCTGGTTGCATCTTGTCAGAAGAATGGTAAATAACCTCAATTTTTGCATGATCCAAACTTCTCTTAGAAGGATCCATAATATCTGAAACCCTAGGCAAAATGTTTGGATGCACTGTATTCAGCATCTTCCACAAAGACAACAACCAAGGATCCAGAGCACCTTCATAGCTGCAGAGGATAAATTCTTAACATTATTCTGTCTCTCTCACAAAAAAAAAAAAATCTGAAAGCAAAGTGTCTATCAAGCAACTCAAATGGATCAAGCATAAAAAAGGAAAAAAAAAAAAAAAAGAACTTGCAGGCAAGAACATATGTTATTGGTAATAGAAAAAAGCACTGGAGCCAACAAAAATCAACAGCAAATCAGTCTTATCTTGCCAAAAGAATGCATCCAAGAGAAATACGAAGTAAATCTCCCTCTTCAAGAATAAACAACAAATCAGATGAAAGTTCAATAAATAAGCAAGATGAATCCACGTAATTCAGACCATGCTTGCAATACAAAAGAAAACACCAACTGACCAACAACAGGCATATACGGAAACATACCCTGAAGGGTGCTGATCATCTCCTAAACCTTTTTCAATTAATGGTTTTGCTCCAAGATCTGAAAGCCTTTTGTCCAGCTTTTTTGCAGTAAACTACAAAAGGGTTCCACATTGTACATATGAGTAAGAAATAATTAGGCAGAATTTTATTAACATGCTACATAATGAATTTTGCCTGGAAAGTACATTGGAGATTATATATCTGTCGAAGTGGTATCTGGATGATGGAAACCACTTTGATTGCGAAGACTTTGATTGATAAACAATGTACTAAAAAGAAAGTGCTTGAGTTTCACCACAACGATTGAAAGAGCAATTTGGTATTGATAGGATGCATAAACATGCACATTACATGGACATCCCCGCATGACAAATCTTTACAAAGTGGGGAATGACCCACAGAGAGAGAGAGAGAGAGAGACACACACACACACACATAATCTTTAATATTATAAAGTTTAAAATTATTTCATGTATTTGAAAAGAAGCTGTTGTAGAAAATTAAATTTCAATATATATGAGGCCAAGTAATATGATGCAAATTTCTGACAATCCTCTTCCTCAACCTCGGCACCCATAAAAAAGCCAAAAGACTCAACTATAGTCCTATTCAGGTTGGCTGAAGCATTATTATGACCAGCCAAGGGTCAAAGCAACTCTTCACAATGGGGACCCTATGGTCATAAACAAACCTACCACAAGGGCGGAATAAACAGGGGACCCAAGTATCATGTCAGCAGCCAAGATCACTTGAAAGCTTACAACAAATGATCAATAGATTGGATTAAGATCATAACATACTTACAATCTAACATCAAACAGATTTATGGAAAAGGAACAACTGTACTACAACAACATAAAGAGGCAAAGAAATCACATATAACCTAATCAAAAGGATCCACAACCTAATTAACCAAACATAAATAAAAAATTACATTATATTTCTGGTACCCTGAGTCACCCAGTCCAAAAACTGCATAGTGAAGTCCTTCCAACCACTGATTGCTAAGGTTCCTCTGCAAAAGAAACCTCCAAAACACCTACAAAAACACAACATCATATCTAACCATTGCAACAGATCACTTCAAAGTTCAGACTACCATTGTGAAAGAAGTCCAACCTTCATTGAGTCTGGTATATCCCCCTGTCCTGTGGTAGAAACCACAAAAATTACAATTTCTTGGTCTGGTAAACAACTCTGCATACAATAAATAAATAAAAATTGGTTGGAACACCACCAAGAATAATAAGGTGAAAGAAAAATGTGGTCTTTTTATGTTAAATCAGATCAAGACATGAGATGGACTTATAATGGGTTTACTGACCGCATCAAGGCGGTCGATGGGGAGGACTTGGACAGAAGGGCAGCCACCGCGTTCTGCCTCCCTACCGACGCGCTCGGCAGCATCCATAGCATTCCCAGTCTGCGAAGCGTAGAGAACTAGCAGATGGCTCGACTTCTCCTCCATTCTCTTTTTTCTAGTGACTGATGTTCCGACAAATGACTGTGCTATGCAGGAAGGCCATGCACCACATAGCATATATGAAGTTTACATTTTTTTCATTAGTTAGAGGCGCATATAGTTAAGGAAAAAGCAAAACAAGTAGAAAACACACGAACAAGTACACAAAATTTTACAGTGCAAAGGAACACCCTACATGGCAAGATTAGAAGATGGAAAATATCAAAACACTAGTTCCAATACATGGAGATGTACTGTGAGACCATTCAATTTGAAAGTATAACCAAACTGAAGATGATCAACATATATTCATCTAGCAATTCAAAAGAACATCCTGAAACAAGAAACGGTGATTCTTGCGCCAAAGGCTACAAAAATAGAGAAAGCTAAGTTCCAAATCCTGCAGATGACCTGTAAAATAATTGAATCAACATATTCAATCAGTCCAAATTAAACGGAAACTAGAAATAATGCAATTTAGTGGTAATTGAGGGGGTTCCAAACTCAGATTGCAGGAACAGATTATAAGATCGTAAGATCAATCAGATCCTACAACTTATAAAAAATTAATCTTAAGATATATATATATATATATAAACTTATAAATAAAGTTTTAAGATTTAGTAACTCTTACATATTCTTAAATTAATTATTACATTTTTATTATAGTGAATGCATAATTAATAGTATTATCTCTTATTTGAATGAATAATAATTTGCTTGTTTTTGAGGTTTACAACGATCTAATTGGTCTCTCCACTTGACCATCTCGACTTCAAGATACCCATAAGTAAAGCAGCGTATGCTATATGATTTATTTTATTACAAATTATTAATATGCAACAAAACATATGCTTAAGGGTATAAATTACACAGCCAACTTCTACAGCAGAATAAAAGCTATAACATCTTTAATGTATCATTAACATAAGCTAGGAGATCAGAGTGGGGAGGAGAGGATCAACAAATAGAAGAGACGACAAGAGAGAATAGGAGTGGGAAGGAGATCAGAGGAGGGTTGAGATCGCGAAAGAGGAGAGGAGAGAAGAGTACCAGGGAATAGGTGGCTGAGCCAGCAACGGCGGGAGTGCCGGCCGCAGGAGGAGAGGAAAGGCTTAGGGCATCACGCGTGGAGTCTCGGACTCGGGATCAGTGTTTTTACCGAGGTCTTTTGAGTTGACTCAGTAAACTCAAGTCGACTCGTTCCGAGTCGAGACGCGGGTCTCAGTTTGACGCTGATAAATAGGGTCTCATTCAACCGGACTTTGATCCGCATTAGACGGGTATGGATCCTTTGAATTTGGAGGTACCATCCAGCTTGAGTCCGACAATCATCGGATCCAATTCTACTTTTACATCCTACAATAGTCTAATTCGGATTCAATTTTTAATTAGCTCAGGGGATGAATCCTAAACCTCATTTTCCTTGTGTGTGTGTGTGTGTGATTCGAATCTTATTGGAATTCGTTGTGATCGTGAACCCAAGCCATCGCTCCTCGACTTCTCTTCTCATGCATTGACTACTCTCAAATAATTAAAGATCTATAGATATGATTTGACTTAAGTATATTTTAAATGTATTTTAAAATAGATTAATTATACTTTAAATATGTATTGACTTAAGTGTTATTTGGTAAAATTATGTTATATAAATCTATTAAATATTTTATGATAAATTTATCCTTATAATATTTTTAATAATTTTCACAAGTTAATACATATTTTTTTTATTAAGACTAATAAGTAATATATATATATATATGTAAATTTTAAAATATATAATAAATAAAAATATATAATCATATAAATAAATATAAAAATAATCTTTAAAAAATAAATAAATAAATTTTTATATTAGAAAATTTTATTTTTAATTGAATCTAATTAATTTCTTGACTAAAAAAAATCACTTTTTTTTCTCTTTTATCTCCGAAGGCGCCGAAGCAATGTTGGTAAAAATAGAGACATACGGACAAGCAAGGAATCGACCTCAGGTGTCTCCCGTGGCAGTAATACTAAAATACCACTAGGCCAATAGGGTGATGTAATCCTGATGTATAAGCTACTAATATATCATCTTTAATCCACAGCTGAAACAAAGACTAATGCACACACGTTCGCAGCTGGCAAATTTAGTTCGACCCCTTACATTCCTCAAAAGGAGGATCGTCTTTTCCCATAAATTATTTACAGTCAAGCAAATCGATAGCTGGAAATGACATCCATCCCCACCCAAATCCATTCCAATCCTCTTTTTTTTCCTATTAATGCCTATTTTTATCCCCTATTTAGTATTACCAAAAAATAAAAATAACAACACAACCATACAATCTAAAAATAAAAATAAACACGAAAAACAGCCTTTTCACCACCGAATAAGCAATTAAAAGGAGGAAGTTATATTTTTCGTTACTTTTTCCTGTACGATGGGTTCGAAGACAATCTTACACGCAGCAATGCAGAGAGACATTTTTATCGTCTTGATGATGGCAATGCAGCTCAACATTCATAAAATCCACCTGATCAATAGATATAGCGAAAGGGGGGAGAAGAATCAAAGGCAAAAACAAACGCAGGCAATTGTAATATAAATACCGCCATCAGATTGTGCAACAAGAACAAGTATTAGCAGAAGTCGAGAGGAGACAGTTTGCCTGGTCTCCTGGAAGCCTCACAGCAACAAAGTCAACATGGCAATCCAACTTCACCAGGGATGGAGGTCCCAAATATTCCACCTTTCTCAATCTCAGACGACAAATGTAAGCGACGACGGGCGACGGGATACTCGGACTACCAGATATCTTTCTGAGCCCTATGGCTAAACGAAATAAGAGGCTCCTGTGCATTAAGTTATTTTAAACTATTACACTGAAAAAGCATATTCTAAAAATATGCACAAGCTATGCTACAATTGAGAAAGATAAATGAGGGCCATTCAGAAACTCTATGGATCGCAAATCCTTCTGTACAATCATATTTGTAAAAGAAACTGCTAACAAGACCATCTCACAAAAAAATTGCCAAGTGAAGGTGGTCTGCATTCTCCATCTATTAAAGAAAGAAATAAGACCAGTTTCATGGGGGAAACAACGCTATGCACTTAGATAACATGTCACCTTTTTATGTGGGGAATCCATGTGAAACCTCGAAGAACAATGATTGTCCACAAAGCATCTGACATCTGTAAGGAGAAGAGCGGTCATAACTGTAGGAAAAGAGTACATGAAAATTACATCTATCTTATGTGTAGCATGCGGAAGACAGTATTAATAGTGTGTGGGCAAAACCTTGAAGTAGAGTTGGAATTTGTTTCTTCTTTCACAAATCATATTAGTTCAATTTTCTGTTTTTATAGCATAGCACCTTTGTTCACTAATCATGGTTCCTGTAATAAAAATGTACCAATACATATCCAAGATCAAATCAATACCAGACAACAGGGACTCCAGCAAGGCAACATCCACCACCCTACCACTCGTAAACCCCCTCTTCCTTGACTGGGTTATGTATAGTATAACCCCATCTCACAAAAAAAAAAAGATCTGTTTCTCCCTGCCCCACCCTGACGTGAAAAGGTCATGGAAATACACATACATATCACTTATTAAAGAGCATTACTTATTTGAATAGACAGTGCTGATATTTTCACGTCAGGTTTGGCTCACGGGAAGGATACGCATAACGTCCCCACCCTGTGTTTCAGTGGGCTTTTGTAAATTATATCCCAAGTCCACAACATTTCCTACTAGCTCGATCAGGCCAGACCGGTCAGGTGCACCACATGTTTGGATTGAAATTGCCACACCTACCAGATGTTTCATATAAAATGCATGCCATAAAATTTAAGAATTGCCATACTATGAAATAACCATTGGACAAAAATATGATAAAAACCACAAAGGCAAAACATAGTGCTGATATATTCATGTTCTAGTTGGGATGTCTGAGTCATTTATTAGCTAATTATTCTTGGTATTTCTTGAAGGTCAAGTGTGAGTGTGTGCACGCACACACACACACACATATAGCAGCTCATGAATGTCTTGATGAAGGCTTCATGTTTTCTTCTTATATTCAGCAATAAATATGTTTAAAGTGAATTTTTTTTATCACAAGGCGTAATAATATAGTAAAAATAAGTAAACTTGGAAAGCAAATAGGATTAGTTATCATAATGCGCATCCAGAAAAAAAAAAAATAGAATAACGTAAAAAAATCAACATGAACTTCAACATGCACTGACATGGTCTTTATCCGAGTGCCCATCCAAAGAAGATATAGATTGACATCAAACAATCAATATAAAAAGTGATTTTAAGCATCACATTCGAAATTTTTCATTTTTCATGATAGTGTGCACTGAGTTAAACACAGTTGTATTTATCAAACATTTTCCCATCAACCTGGTCTGGGGAAAAATAATGCTATATAAGCAGAAAATCCAAATGAAAGCATGGAACAATCTTATTGGCTCTCGTGGAGGCCCAAGAGTTGAACCATAGGAATGCAATAAGGCTACCTAATTATTGCACCACATGTGGCATTCATCCACCTGTGAAATACAATAAGCCTCAGAAGCATCTGGCATCCTTGAGCTTATTCAACTCCCATTACATCCTCTTACAATCAATCATTAATATATTTACCAACCACCAGAACCATGCACTAGTAGTTTGGTAATCCAGACCAACCTTTTAAAAAATGTTTGTTTGAAACAATTGTGGCCCCTTTAGAATGATGTCAAGAGGCACTCAAGCTCGCTTATGTGCACGGGTAAGGCGAGGCGATTGCTAAGCGCCTTGCCATGAACCCATGCAAGGCAATTGGTCCAGGTGGCACCTAAGTGGTTGCCTGAGGCCTGGCGCTAGCATCACATGCGCTCGCCTAGCCCAACCCAAGTGCTCACTAGCCAAGCATGCTATAATCAAGCTCAGATCGAGAAAATCAATACAATTGAGCCTAATCATAGTTGATGAATTGGTTCAATTAAACAAATACATCAAGTTAACAGCTCTCCAAATATCCCGCCCCCCTCCTCCTCCTCCTCCTCCTCTAAATTGTGAAAGAAAAAAACCCCTAGATTCTTTGTCGCCACTGTGACATCGTCACCTTTGACTTTTTTCCACTTTTCTCCGACCATCTAGTGATGCCACTATGATTTTCGCATACGACCACCCCTTCACCTTTTATAGCTCTTTTCAAATCATTGTCTCGCACCCACAGTCATTTTCGTCATGATTTTCACTTTCAACCACCTCCATTTTTACCTCCAATTACTATTCAACGACTGACGACCACTATCATCATCCTTGTTTCTACCATCGTGAATTTTGTTTGATTGGCTCCGTCGGTTCTTCTTCGACCACCTTCAGCCGCAATATCATTTATTACAGCCTCAACTTGCCATGCCCTATCCACACTTGTACTGTCCAATGAAAAAATTCATCCCAATATTGCATACGTAATTAAAATATATGTATTATTATATATTCTCAATTTTTATGTACATCACAGTGAGATGGACAAACCAGGATCAGTGTTGCAGATGATGATGGTATAATATTTCCTAAACCAAAAGGGGGATAGAGCTATTTTTTTTGAGTGGTGAGCTGGGAACAATTTGAGTGAACCTGCCCCACCTCACTCTAATACTCTCCCTAGTTCTACATGCATAAGGCTTGTTTAAATGGCCAAGGTTGTGCTTGAGAGGATCTTAGAAGTAAAACAACATAAGCAACAGACATGGGACACCACACAATAACAATAGAGGCCTTAAACCCTTTTACATTATTCCTGGAAACATACATGTTCCATAATCAATTATTGTTTTAGTTGTTTACTTTGGTTCATGATGATATATTATACTTTTATCACCAACTTCTAGATGTTCAATTATATGACAAATCAATTTCTCATGTGAAATTATATTATTCCAAAGCTCATAAATCTTGTAGTGTGCACACATTTATCATGATAAGTTATTACTATAAGCAGTCGTATGGTTCTAATAATGTTATGATATTTTTCTTACATATGTACACTTAAAAGGTCAAGCCATATGTTCCAAAACTATTAGCTCTTTATTTGATAAAAACTATCCCAAGGGCCATCTTGTTAACAAAAACCAAAGGAATGATCGACTATCAAAAGCTGTTCAAAAGCATATAGTCCTTTCTCTTACATAATTTGAGTTATGTGTGTCCATTTTCGCACATTGTAAAATAATCATTAGATAGAAATATGCCAAAGCAAGAATAAACCCTGTTTAACTAGACATCAATCTGTATATCTAAATATAATTTGGCCCTCTTGTTGCCCCTTGCAAACCAAAGATTATATTAACTAAGAAGTGAAAACATAACAATCAATAAATGTCTCGACATTGACTCATGGCAAAAAGGTAGGATTCCAAGTGTGTATTTTTCTGAATTGAACACAGGTAAACTCAGAGCCATAGACAAGATGTATTTCAAGTTAATGTTACAAAAGATAGTGACAAGTGAACTGACAACGTATGGTACACTGGTTGAAATACAAGCTATGAACAACCACCTAATTCATACCTAAGTGAAATCTGTTCAATTCCCAGGCGAATGTGCAGCATCCGATTCATATGATGAGGAGCTTTCAGTATCAGAATCTGCAAAAAGTCAATGTCAGTTTAAAGATGCATGTATATAAAATAATAAAACTTAGCAACTTCTGTTTACACAGACCCAGGGTGTGTGTGTGTGTATATATATATGATGAAATTAGTGCTCCATAATTGTCCTTACACAGATATATGATATGTTGCATAAGAATATTACCAGAATCAGAGGATCCAGAGTCACTGCTGGATCGACTGGAACCACTTGACCCACTCTCATCATTTCCATTATTTGCTCCTGCTTCTGTCAAAGGAGCAGCAACCTTATTCTGATCCACCGCTGCTCAAAATTTATTAGCATAATGTAATTAGTACGAGATGAAAATATTAACCAAAAAGATCATTATAATTCATACTCAAAAGCCATATACCATTCTTGACTTGCTCGGGCACTTCAGCAACAACTGGATAAGGATCCTATCACAAATGAAACAAAACAACAGATAAATATGATAACACGTCCAAGGAGAAATACAATACAAAAAAATAAAATAAATTCTTCATTTCTCACCTCTCCATTCAACCTTTCTCGGTTGTGGCGCTCTGCCTCAGCCCTAGCAAGCATCGCAAGCTCTGCCTTCCGTTTGTGCTTACTTAGAGTCTTCTTATAGTTAGTTACAAATCTATCAAGCTCCCAAAGTGTTTCTGCATCTACACAATCTATGTCCACCTCAATCTCGTCATCATGTAGGTTCAAAACAGAGTTCCTCTTCTTAATAATTTGTACAACAGTTTCCAGCTTCTCTGGTGGCAGGCTCTCCAAATGACGTCTCAATGTCTGCTTCTCCCGGAATGTCATGTCCCGCTTGTTTATGTCATTAGCCTTGGGTTTCTTCAGAGCTGTAGGCCGGCCAAAATGCTGGGTCTGGTTTTGTTCGGGCCTCATATCAATCTCCATGGGTTGCACCACAGGCCTCATATCGATCTCCATGGGTTGCACAGTGGAGCTCGACATCTCAAGAGTTCTCATATCCAAAGAGGGGGGGTTTCTCATACTGAACAAATGTAGCTGATGCAAATGCTCAGTGAACTCTGTCTCGATCAGTGACCATCTCTCCTCGAAGACGTTGAGGAGCTGCTCAGCCATAACGTGCACATCCTGCCCCTTGGGATTGTACAACATGGCGTTCTGGAATGTACGTCTAACATCTGCTGCAAATTCCAAGGGAGACTCGTAGAAATTACTGGCAAAGCGGGATTGCACGGTGCCAAGGTCCATTGGGTGCTTTATGATGGAGAAGTAATCATAGAGACCGAGACCCTCGACGTCCACTGGCTTATTGAATACCCATCCAAAATTGTGCTTCATGAGCTTATCGAGCAGTGTCCGGCAGCTCCTGAAGGCATTCGCATAAATTTTCTTGTTGGCTGATGCCCTATAATCTGATTCCACGGTCGAGTGCTTCCTGCTTTTGCTGGACTTGGACTTCTTCTGAGATACTGAAGGAGGAAACTTCTCCTTCCCCAGAATGAAATCCGAGCTACGGAAGTACTGATTCGCCTTGGGCGTTCTCTTCTCCCTTTCTATCGTGGAAGTACCAAGGCTGTTCCTGGAACCGACACCAGGTGGCACCAAGATGTTGAGCTGGGGACGTAATGGGGCAGGGGTGGCAGAAATGGCCTCGGAAAACACCGATTCTCTCTTACTCGCCACCGGAGTGTTGACATGATTTACCGAGAGTTGAGAAGGAGCAGCACCGACGCCGCTGCCTCCGCCGCCAGCAGAGGGGATGGCGGAGAGCTGGTGCTCACGGGTCTCAAGCCTCTTGAGGAGGTCCCTCACCTGATCCAGCTGGGCGGTGAGCATCCGGCGTAGGTCACGGGCCTCCCCTTGCGACCGCTTGGCGTCCTCAACCGCAACGTGGCCGTTCTGCTGGTGGGGAGCAGAGCCCTTGGGGTCGGGCGTGGCCTCCGGCTCGTGGCGGTTCAGGCTCGAGGCCTCGTTGCCCGAAGAGGCCGAGCGTTGGAACTGGTGACGCTCCGGCGGAGAAGGGGGCGGCGGAGGCGGTTGCTGAAGGGAGGAGTCAACGTCGCCGGTGGTGGTAGTGGTGGCTAGGGTTTCCCGGGAGGAGGGCTGGGGATTCTGGGCGTCGGCCGCAGGGGTGTTCTTACCGCGACGCCTGCGGCTGTATACCTTTAACTCCGGCGTCCGTCGGGTCTCACTGATGCCATCGCCGTCGTCGGCGGCGGCGGCAGCGGCAGCGGGGCCCGAAGCCATGCATGAAACGGACGCAGAGAGGGCGGCGGCTCGGGTTTGAGAGGGTAAACCCTGAATCGAATCAGGACGAGTAGGACGAAACGCCCGAAGCGAAGCGAGTGAGGAGTTTGGAGACGATGAAAACCCTAACCCTAACGACGCGATCTTGCTCCCCGTCGCTCGCTCTCTGCGGAACAATAACGGGATCGAGGAAGAGGATGCGGTGTTTGGGTCGGTTCAAAGGGTTCCTACCCATGTCTCGGTACCCCTTTCATTGCCACGTCGCAATTGGATACGGCCGCGGACCCGATACCGAGCCCGCCCTCCTTCCAATCACACGTCAGGTAACTATGGTAATATCTTCCATCCGGACATGGTGGATTAGTGCCGCTCGTGGGATTCCCTGTCTATCCCGGATTAGGGAACCGAATACTGCACCAAAAATAGTGACGTCAGAATCCTTAATGGAGTCAAATATGTGCTGCCATTCGAGAAATGCCGTGTAGCCCGAATGACGATATGTAGGACATCACAGATTATGGGGGTCTCCACTTAAGTAAGGCGGCGAGCGAGTCGATGAGGGGGAAAGCAGGCGTTCTGGTTGGGTGGGACCCGAGGCACCGGTTTCAATGTGCATAACTTTGACCGATGGTTCCAACAGTGACGTGGCCTTAAATAACTCATATTTTTTTATAATTAAAAAAATATATTTCAACAATTGACTATTTATGTATTATTTCGATAATTAGCTACGTATAAAAATTATATTAAGATGCTTATAATTATAAAAATAAGATATTTAAAATTTTTTTCTCATATTATTTATTTTATTTAAAAATTATAAAATTTATTATTAAGTTTGTATTGATTGTGTCTCATTTCGATTTATTACTGAACGTAGTTACGTGAATAGAATCGACGATATAAAAAATAAAATTAAATATTTTTATTTTTATATATAAATTAAAATATTAAAATCAATTAATTATAATAAAATAATTTACTTTTTAAATTTTTATACTCATCTATTTTATGCCAACATATCAATATCCTCTATAAAAGGAGATAATCAATTGATTCGGAAATCTAAATTTTTATTTATGGAAAAATATCAATATAATTATGAGAACATTATATTATTTCTTTCACTCTTCAGCTGACATGATCATGTTGACCATTTTCAGCTATAATTTACAGATAAAAAATTCTACAAACATATGTCAGCTTCTTGGAGGAGTTGTATAGTTTGTGAGGAGCATTCGAATGATGAACTAAATCTTATTTTGATATATTGTCTTTTGCACTACTTAGGTGACTACTACATACACATAAATGTAATGAATTTAAGAAGAAAATAAAAGAACAACATATAGAATTTATTTGTTGGATTTGTCGACTTAATAAGGAAAAATAGATTAGTATGTTCTTTCCAAATTTGGCCATAATTGATAGAGGATGTATGTTGGAATTGTTCTTGGCTAAAAAATATGCACATTGTATGTACCAAAATAAAATAACCATTTTAAATGTTATCTATTCTATGATAAATGTGAGTCTCACAACCCAACATGCCATGAAAAATTATCATAATATTTTAAGGAGTTTGGTCTAACATATTTTGATTTTACAATATTTCTCCCCATATTACCCAATATTATATGGTTTTAGCTTGTGTCAATATAGGTCAAGGAAAATATATATATACACATATAATATATCTAAAAGTTATATACATAAAATACTCACAAGTAATTATGTATATATATACGTGCACAAATAATATCATATATATATATATATATATATATATATATATATATATATATATATATCCATATTTGGTCATAATTTATAAAGAAGGTTTTTGTAGTAAGAAAGGATTTTATAAATATTCTAAAAGAATAACATATGGGATAATCTATCATTTTTTTTTTCTTTAGGTAAAAACCGTTGATTGATCATATATGCTATTAAAAAATAATAATTATCATAAATTAAAAAAATAAAAAAATAATACTAATCATTTTAGAATCATTAGGATATGATTGTAAGATGTTTAATTTAATTTAATTTTTTAAAAAATATTATGATAATTAATTATCAAAATTAAGTTTTTTTTTTAAATAACATCTGTGATAAAATCATTTAACCAAAAAAGATAAGATATTTTCATCAAAGTAGAAAAAAAATCAGATAAAAATAAATATTTGAATATTTAGATACCATCCAGTAAAACCAGAAGCTTCTTTCGTATAATAATGCCCTTACACATTTATATTATTTTTATCAAAATAATCAATATATATTTTGTGAGGCTCATGACCCAACGCTCGTTAAAAAAATATCATAAATGTTTCAGGAAATTTGGCACAAGGCATTTTGGTTTTCTATTATCTATGCTAAGGTTTGTCGTATCGTATCGTACCGACGTTTCGATCTTGGCTTGGTACGGTATGGTACCGGTGTATCGAGTGGTACATTAGGGCGTACCGAACGGTACACCCTGGCGTACTAAATAATTTTATATTTTTTGTACATATTGTAGCAGTGTTACAGTATAACACCGTAGTACTACAATAACTACAGTATAACACTGTAGCACTGTAATAATACCGGACGATCCGTGTATTAGTAACCTGTCGGACCGGTACGTACCACCCATACCGGGTGGTAAGTTTCGGTATGACAGACCTATTCTATGCAATTGTGCCCAACATTATAAGACTGAATTTGAGCCAAAAATAGATGTTTTGTGTCTATCCAGTCCAAAATTGGTCATAAGAAAGATCTTTGTTATAAGCCCTTTTGACATTGTTATTGGTCAAAAATTCTCAAACACAACGCTTTAGATTTTAAATCTTATTTGTTTTATGGCAAACATAGCCCAATCTAGCAATAATATACGGTTTGACCTAACATATTTTAGTCGAAGAGGGTTGAACTTGTGCCAAAATCATGTCCAAATTTGATCATAATCTAAAGAAAAAGATTTTTGTCATAACAAAATGTCATGATCTAACCCACATAACTAACTCATTAAACTTAATTTCGTTGAACCTAAATCATAATTCACTGATCTAAAATGCATAAATCTAAATTAATAACTATATACTTGCTAATACATTATAAATGATGATAAGATCATACATTATAATACTTGATAATACATTATAATCAACTCGACGTAATTAACTTATTAAACTTAATTTCATTGAGCCTAAATCATAATTGATCTAAAATGCATAAACCTAAATTAACAATTATATACTTGATAATACATTATAAATGATGACAATATTATATACTATAATACTTGACAATACATTATAATTATAATCGACATAACTAACTCATTAAACTTAATTTCATTGAGCATAAATAGCCATTTATTTCCATAAATAGCTAATTTACATGGTTGCTTTGCATGATCACGACATGGTGGTGGAGATAAAACTTCAACCCACAATGCTTAACGGAGAAGTAAAAGAAATACTTGGTGATGAAAACATATTATATATGACGTGTGAGTTATGATCTGTGTCCTGACTGCTTCACCAATCAGATTAGTCTGGTATTCCATTTGTTACGATCGGCTGGCCCACATTGCTTACCAATAGAAAACTCTAGTTATCTGTTTGATATCTTGTGTTACACAGGTGATCGATAATTACTAAAATTAAAGAGCCGAAGCGACGGGAGATCCGTGTCTTGGGTGTCACACCAATCAGCTAATATGGTATTCCATTTAACATCATCATCAGCAGATAACTCCATCAAATAGAAAGGAACATTTCCATGTTTGGTGTCCTGATAATAACAGATCTAAAAATTAAACAGGGCGGAGCAACGCGGACTACGAATAAAAGTGGAATGCCCGATGCCGTTTTCGTCGCGGCAGGTTCTTCTCCTCGTTGGCACCTCTCTCCGCTCCGAGTTCAGTCGCCCTCGCGCCCCTCCTTCTTAATCGCAAGATCTGGTGACGATTGATTTCCCTGTTATGTTTCTCCTTGCGATTAGTTTCTTCGTATTCCTCTTCTCGTTGATCCTGTTTTCTTCGATTTCTTTTTTCTGTGGGTTTTCATCTCACGATGATCCGATCTCGAAATCTGTTGTTTTCGAATTTAATTTCGATTCCTTCGCACAGTTGGGTTTTGCTTGGCGATTTACGCCCATGGATTGAGGATTCTAGGGTTAGGGTGTTGCATGTGGGGACCGGGGAATTTAGATGCATCGCGATTAGTCGATCGCTGGATTTATGTGGTGAATCTAGTTTCGACTTTATTTCAGAGTTTGGAATCTAATGCGATCACAATGAGCGAGGTATTCGATGGTTACGAGCTCCAGTACATGTGAATGGCCATAGCTCTCAGTGTTTAAGTAGAACTGCGAACGAGGAGGAGACAATGGTGAAGAGAAGTAGGAGGGTATTTATAATGGGTTAATTAGAAGTCGGGTTGGACTGTCACGAGACTCGGCATTAACTCATACGGTTTGTTGAAGAGAACGGGCCGACGATTTCGGTTGAGCCCAACCGATAGCTGCGTACAACATGTGAAAGCCATTTGTACTTTTTGTGCTTACTGATTTCCCCTTCTTGTTGATCTCGTTTTCTTCGATTTCCTTTTCGTGTGGGTTTCATCTCACGACGATCCGATCTCGAAATCTGTTGTTTTCGAATTTAATTTCGATTCCTTTGCCCTTTTCTTCGCACAATTGGGTTTTGCTTGGCCATTTACGCCCCTGGATCGAGGATTCTAGGGTTAGGGTGTTGGATGTGGGGACCGGGGAATTAACCAGTTCTCTGATTATTAAATGCATCGAGATTAGTCGATCGCTGGATTTTATGTGCTGAATCTAGTTTCTGACTTTATTTCAGAGTTTGGAATCTAATGCGATCACAATGAGCGAGGTATTCGATGGTTACGAGCGCCAGTACAGTGAGATCTCCGCATCTCTCTCACGGAAATGTACATCAGCTGCACTTCTCGATGGAGGTACCTCTCTCTCTCTCTCTCGTGAACTTATTAAACATGTAATTTGCTCGACAGAGAAAAAGAAGCAGAAGGTATCTGATAAATCTGGCCTGGAAGATGCGGAGAATCTAGTAATACGCTCGATTGTATCTCATTGGTTGATTAATAGGACCTGCAACTTTATAAGATTGCTTTTCTAGATTCGAAAAATGAATCTCGAAGCCAGAAGCTTGGAGCTGAGCTAAAGGCCAGATTGCTGGCAAAGTTCAGGGAATACAAGCCGGACATTCACAACTTGAAGAGTGAATTTAAAAGAATTACCATCCCTAATCCCAGCCAAGCTGCAAGAGAAGAGCTGCTGAAGCCAGGGATGGCTGATACATTGGCGGTATGACAGGTTTTAGTTTGTTGTCTTTTCACTGTATATTATAGTGCTTAATCATTGCATTTCTAGCCTTTTATTATAATCTGGTCGCCATGTAGTTAAAGGTTAGTTTGATAATTATGGGATTTAGTGGCAACATAACCGATAAATGTTAGGCTTTGCTGATGTGAAATAACAGTTCGTATGGAAAGTTGTTTTCTTTGTTTCCATCACATTATTCTTGGATTGTCTTTCTTCTTTTTTGTTGTTCACCATTCTTGTGGAATTTGGATATCCAATTGCTATGCAACACTAAGATGGAGAGGAAAAAAGTTCTGAGAACCTTTTTCCTTCTGTGAATGGGTTTTACCTTTTAGTTTGGAAGTATAGTATAAACTCAATAATACTGAAATATGTACTAAGGTTCATGAGACTACAATCATATGAATTAGATATATACAATCATATTTCAACTAGTAATATATAAATATGGTAAAATTTCTTTCTCCATACAATAGAAACATCAAATGATCTACAAATGTAATTGTATGATCTCAAGAAGTTCCTGAGACTATGTTTTATTTAAAACATTTGACTATAGAGTCATTGCAAACTCAAGATTCACATTAGTTATGTACAAACCATCATACAAAATTTCATAATCAACTTTTATTAATTCATAAATATATTGAGTTTGTCATTACCAAAAAAGGTTAATATCCTAATAATTCTAGATAAAAAATAAATTTATAGAATAATAGGAAAATAGTATGTATCCTTAAGATTTATTAGATGGATCATTTTTAAATGTAAGCTAAAACTATTAGTTAAAATGATTCCCTATGGCGATGAATCTTTTATGCTCCTTTGGCTTTTTTGAATTAAAATGAAATCCTATCCATTATTGGTAACATGAGTTTGAAATATTAAGTACAATTCACTAAATATTAGAAGAGACTTTTATATTATTTGATTAGAAGTATACAAAGGTTACTAACCTTTCTCTTTCGAAGTAAACCTTATTAGTCCTTCTTCACACTTTATTGTAAAAGTTTTTCTTTTATGAGTTTGTAGTCTTTATAATAATATAAGAATATAATGGAACCATTCCGTCTTTAATATTAATTCCTCCTAAATATAGTTAGCTTATTTAAGTTTCACTTATCATTTATTTATGTTATAATAAAATTTAAATGAGTTGAACTAAAAGAAAAGAGAAACTAAAAATGAATTATACGAGAAGAGCTACGATGTTTAATATTTTTTAGCATTGTAGCTTTGTTAGTCATACCGAGGATGTCATAGAATTCCTCGAATCCCATAATATTGAGCTATAGCCAATTTTTTTATTAAGATGTCAACCAATGATTTATTAACAAATTTCAATTTGTAAGTTATATATTATAATGAAATCTAAATATTTTTAGTAATTATCATAAAGTTAAGCCTAAATGGACCTTTCCTAATTATTTATTTCAATTATTTATTTTATAAAAATTTCAACAATTAAATTTGTTATCCTTCCAACAAGTTCGGATAAAGGTCTAACATACTTATTGTAAATTAGATATGTTCAAACCATTTATAATAATTTAATCTTAAAAAATATAGGAACACTAAAAGTATAACAATATAATGGAAAATATAATCGTAACAATAAAAATAATATAATATTAATATTTTAATTTTTTTAATAAATATTGAACTATTGATATCATCTTTATTTTACCGGATGAAATAATCAACCTTATGGAATGGTATTATTACATTTGGATATTATCCTACTTTATCATACAATTATTCGAATTAGATATTCCTTGTGATTATCTAAATCTATGTGTTATTTTGAATATTATTTTTTAATACTATATATGATTAATTCTATAATATAATTCTATAAAATTATTAGTTCAGATCACTTTGTAACTATAAGACTAATCCGAGAATATAAAATATATTTTAAATATCATATAAATGGTAAAATATTTATTATAATTTATGTCCCATAAAAATATAATCCTATGCTATTTTGGTAACTATAAATCAAATAAAATTTAAGAAAATAAATTATAAATAATATTCACTAAAATTTTTAATATAATGATTATGGTAAAAACATAAATCATACCTTTATATAAAAAATAAATATTATTTTATTTTTTTAATATGCATGTGAATAATTACATAAATATCCAAAAATAATAATTGAAATTTAAGTACCATAAGAAAATAAAAAATTACCATTATTTTATATGGGAAAACTAAAAAAAATTGTAATTCATAGTTTTTTTAATTCCATAAAAAGTCTTTAAATTGGTCCAATCAATTCTATTTAATTGGACAAGCCCAGAATTGAACTACTCAAAATGGGCTCATAAATTTGGGCTAAACTTCGTCCCAATTAGGTTACTCAAAATAAAAGTTGATCAAGATTAAAATTAATTAAAAACTTAAATTCTTACCAAATTAAATTTAAATCAAGCTGTGGTCAAAATCTAACCAAATTATAGTCAAAATCTAGGTTTGATCAAAAGTTAGAATTGACTGTGATCAAAATTGCTCAAACTTGAATTTTAACCATGTCAAAATTAGATATGATTGGTCAAACATAGGAGTTGACCATATCAAAATCTGATCAACATCAAATTAAGAAAAGTTGTTCTAGTCAAAATTAAATTTTGGATAGTGACCGGGTCAAAATCACTATTAAGCAATCAAAATCCAAATCAGGGTCAAGATCGAGATCAAAATTAGATTTTGACCAAAGTCAAAATCAAATATTGTCAAAATCAATATTTTGACCAAACTAGGTCATCTTTCTTTTGGAAGAAAGAGGAGCAGTACAATATTTTGGAAGAGGAGCGTGTTGAAATTCTTGTAGAAGCAATGAGAATTGATCATCTTTCTTTGTTCTCCAAGAATCTTAATGATGAGACTCATGGATCTGAAATCTCCCTGTTATGATCCGTAATCTCTCGATGTGATTAAAAATAATCTTATCAGTGAGATTAGTAGACTAATTGAGAAAGTAAGGATGATCAAAGAGGAAAAGATGTAATTTTTTGACTCTTACATATCCAGAAGAAGAACTAAGAGATCGCCTATTGATTTTAGAGTTTGATTTGAACATCGTAACTAGCTTATTTGAAGAACTGGATCTTCAAGCAGAAGCTGTAAAGATTAAATTAATGGAGAGGGAAACACGACTATCAGAAGCAAATCAGAAGGTCAAAATCCACCTAAGAAAAAATATGTTACTAAATGAAGTCCTTGAGACTCTTCAGCGGGATAATGTTGAGACTAAGCTCGTGAATGAAGAGATGGAGAAGAAAATTTAACTTTGATAGGTGTTAACACGATCGTCAATTGGTGAGTCGGTTCAGTCGATTTTCTGATGAAAGCGCTTCTTTCTAGTCACTCTTCCTAGTTGATGTGGAGAGCTGGTACTACGGGCAAGACGAAGAAAACTGTAGGGAGAGACAACACGCTAGGAGTGGCTCAATCTTCGGGCGGCGAAGCTTTTTTTGGGAGCTGGGTGATCTCTTCTGTCGGGTAGCTTCCTGGTCGTGCCTCCGGGCTAAGTCGATGACCTTGCACAACAGGCTTTGCACCGGGAGTGTCTCGGCTTGACCCCTCCGATGCTTAAGTCAGAAAAATTGGGAGGGAGGAAGACAAGGGTATCAACAATGAATTAAGAGAGTAAAGAGTCTCCTCTACATATTTGCCCTAGGTGGAGCGGATGGGCTTTCATCGATGCTCCCCTTACCCGGCGTGGTGGAAACATTTAATACAGGCGACATGCTGGCGCATGCTTCCAGGGGCAACATTTGGGGACTATCGCGATTGTGTCTCCAATCGGGTTTTCTTGCTTCTTCGGGTCAAGCAGGGCGTGGTCCTCTCGTTGTTCGTTCGGCTGGTGAAGCGGGGCCATGTCGTAGACCATTAATGTGGAGCCAGGTTTATTTTTCCGACTGCAGTATCGGTGAGGAAAAATTCCTGCAGGCTCACTTCAGGAAGTTGGGGCAGGTGACGTGACATTCCGTTGGTGGTCGGTAGGGAGTAGGTGGCTCCGAGCCTTCGTCTAGGTGTTGCTTACATGTTCATCCCTATCAATAGGAATGAGGAGATTAGAGGTCTTCAAACAGAAAATACGACGGTGAAGAGGGGGACATTGATCAAATGCATAAAAGAGTTGAAGATCGTGTATTGTATGCAGGGAGGAGCATCTCATCTTATTAGAACTTCAAAAAGAAATAAGTGAGATTATGCAGTGTGAAGAGCAGATTGCAACAATGTTGACCGACTTCCAGAGTTTGTTAGACAATGCAGCATTGCAGGATGACAAGTTTCAAGTACTGAGAGTAGTAGAAGGCGAGGTTAGTGCAGTAGTTGCTGAACTATATTTATTTATGCAAGGAACATCTAATTGCTCAGAATTTATTCAAGGTTTTTATAAAATCCCTAGGCCTTATTTGTCTGCACCAACACTCTCCATTACACTACACCGAAGCTGTCGCTTCCCTCCTGTACTTGGGAGTGAACATGGTCAACTCATTCCCTCGGTTCAACTTTTGCTGCCTAGCCTCCTTCTTGTAGAACTGTTCGGCATATCACACAGCGTCGATGTCTTCCTCACAAAGTGGTTGTAAAAGAGCAACAAGAAGAGCATGAAAAAGAGGAAAATGAACGTCTTTAAGAAAGTGGATGTGGGAGATGGCCATAGCTCTCGGTGTTTAAGTAGAACTGCGAACGAGGAGGAGACAATGGTGAAGAAAAGTCGGAGTGTATTTATAATGGGTTAATTAGAAGTTCGGTTGGACTGTCACGAGACTCGGCATTAACTCATACGTTTTGTTGAAGAGAACGGGCCAACGATTTCGGTTGAGCCCAACCGCGAGCTGCATACAACTTTTGAAAGCCATCTCTACTTTTTGTGCTTACTGATTTCCCCTTCTTGTTGATCTCGTTTTCTTCGATTTCTTTTTTGTGTGGGTTTCCGAATTTAATTTCGATTCCTTTGCTCTTTTCTTCGCACAATTGGGTTTTGCTTGGCGATTTACGCCCCTGGATCGAGGATTCTAGGGTTAGGTTGTTGGATGTGGGGACCGGGGAATTAACCAGTTCTCTGATTATTAGATGCATCGAGATTAAACCATTTACAAATGCTAAAGTAGGGACTAAGGACTGAATTCGTTACCTCATATAAAACATCAAGAACCAGTAAGCATTCATCCAAAAAGGTAAACTCCTTCCATCAGTTATACAGATCAGACACTGAGTTTTTAAATCTTTGAGTTGGAAGATTAGTAGTGGCGAGGTATCTGACATTCACCATGGTACTTCGCCACTTAAAAATGTTGTAGCAAGTAGGTGATGATAAAAGAAAGATGCTACAGTTTGGATCGTAGTGCAGGTCTGCTTTCTGGCAAAAGATCCAACGGAACCAGTATCTTAGGGGATTAAGTCACCATTTAATTTTTCTTTTGAATTTTTTTTATTCTTTTTCCTTTAATTGTATATTTTTAGCTACATAGAACTAGGACAACACGATGCTTGGCCCGAACTAGTTTGGTTGGTCTAGAGCCGGAAAAACCCCAATCAGCCGGTGTTCATTATGATTGGGGACTCTCAATATGTAGGGTTTTGTCCCAAACCAACCCATTCAAGCTGCACTTTAGTTGTGTGCACCCTCGAGTAGATGACGTCAGCAGGGCTTGGGAGTGGTGGCGATTGCTATCAGAGTATGTTGTGCATGAAAAATGCTGCATATAACTTGTTCTTTATTTCCCTTGCACTGCACCAATCCTGATGATTTTTAGTTTGGCATGGATCGTAGTTACATGGAGGTGATGACAACATTAGTAAGAGCAAACGGATCCTGATAGCCATTTCGAGTAGGATGGACAGTAACAAGTGGATAATCGGTGGGATTATCGTAGCTCTGGTTCTGGCAATTTTTTTGATCCTGTATTTTAAGCTCGGCCATTGAAGTGTATCGTACGGACCTGCTCAACTTCTGGTCAACGTCTTTGTGAAATAATGAAGTTTACCGGATCTCTCTCATTCTGCAATATAATCAATTCCATTACTCCTACCATTTCATTTACCTTGCTGCCTGCTGCATCCAATCGGCAATGTTCAAGTACTTTGTACTATGCATCATTGAGCAAGGAGAGCTGTATACGGACGAGGGTAAACACTGTTTTTGATCGAGTAATTTGTATTATTACACTGGCCATGTATTATAATACACAGTAATGTCTGTCTTTGTTTTTTTTATTATTTTATTGTGATACTCAAGCATATGCATGATCTGATTCAAGCAAACAGGTTTTGGGTCAACCTATATGTTCTTGTTAGATCAAAAGAATCTAAACTTTAAGTATAGATCAAAATATTCTTCTTGTTGTAAAAACCTTTCTGGTTTCCAACCCAACCCCACACACCCCCCCCCCTGTATGTGGCTGCTTTGCCCGTAAGGCTTGGAGAAAAACCCTCTTTTGTTTTTGAATTTTTTTCTCTCCGTATGACTCCCGGATCCACTTCAAGTGAATTCAGCAATATTGTTGATTGTTGTCACAATAACATTTGTTCGGTTGGATAGGATGATAATTCTTCAAATTTTCTTGCAATGATTATGAAACTGTGGCAATTTTAGGTGCTTGAGGTCTTAAATGTTGTAATTATTATCTTCTTCCTTAAGTGTTGATGCAATTATTTTTTTTGGTGGTGGTATAATCTCATCCTGTTCTTAATGCTCATACTCCTACAACAGTAAAAATGTTGGTTTTTTAAATATATTAAGATTGGATTTACTATTTTGTGTACATTGATTATTTCCAGACCCCATATTAATGGAAAGTCAAAAACCAAATTAAAATCCATCCAGCTAATATTATTTTGTTATGATTTGGATATTATTTTTGGACTGTCTTGGTCTTAACCTGAGCGTAGTATAAATAGCATCACGATTTAACGATCGCGGCGGATGCGGACGGAGGTGAGCTCAGTCACGGCCATGTGGAGGTCCTCGACGTAGAGCGGGGGGAACGGCCACCGAGACAGTGGTGGCGCTGCTTTCTTCGTTCGCTTCCTACGCCACGGCGACTTCTCTCACATCGCCGGAGAGCTTGGTTAGGTAAGAAGTTTTGAGCGGGAAGGAGCGTGTGGGGGCCGCGATTTTATACACACGAAAACTGAGACGCAGAAAGCAGACGAGCGAGTGTAGTGTATGCAAATAACCACGCTGCATAACCCCCGCCGTTCATCGCGAAAAGGTTGAACGGATGCGATACGTTTTCAGGCGGGACAAGAGGAACAGGTGATCGAATAGGCGATTCTGCGGACTGTCATGTGTGAATGTTAACTCCCGTCACCGTGTCCTTCCATCGCCGTTCGTTTCGGTTTCGATGCGGTGATGATCTTGATATCCACTTGATGTCGAATCGATGCGTCTTAATCACCATCCGTTTAATGGTAGTAGAAATGGCCCAAGTAAGTGTAGTAGAAATGATATTTCATGAAAAAGAATAAATAAAATAAAAAAACTTCAATTTTCTTGATACCCAATCGAATGCCGCCACGTAAACTCGTCGTGGATGTAAGCTACTCGACCGCTCGTTTGCTTCCTGCGAAGGAAGAGCTCCTCTCCTCTCCTCTCTGTGTTCATCTACTCTCATACGTTGGTTGTGATCTCCCCTGCCCCCAAACTCCTCAGAACCATCCAAGACCCTCTGGGGGGGAGGAATCCTCTTCCGCTACTAGAGTTTCTTCGCCGAGGAGGAGGAGGGGTTCCGAAGGAGGAAGGTGGCGGCGTCCAGGAAGCAGCTCCTCCCCCGCCAGCGGCGCCGCTCGCTTGCCCGGCTCCGGGTGCGCGCCGTGGGAGGGGGCGTGGACCGCTGTGTCGCCACCGGGATCTAGGAGTTCGCGGATGAGGAAGATTTCATCAAGGCGGGCGGGAGCGAGCGGCTCTTCGTCCAAATGCAGGAAGGAAAGCCCATGGAGAAGCAGGGCCAAATCGCCGAAAAGGTTTCCTTTCTCGCCTTAATCTCTTCTATTTTTATGCTTCCAGTTACATATAACTTGTCCTTTTATTGCATCGCTTTTGGAACGCCAATTGGGATAAGATGAACCTGTGAATTTATGTTGTTTGTTTGGCACTGTTTCATCTGATGAATGTTAACTCGAGTTGCAAGAGGCAGAGTGATGAGTATTGCTCTGTCTGCTAGTTTACCTCTTGTGTGTCAAGGTAGAATTGCATTAGGCATTTACACGCAGAGCATATACCGGATGACTTCTTGTGACATGAGCATCATCCAGATTATAGAAAATGTGATTTAAGTCGCAGAAGCATATCATAATAGAAATGCTTTCTCAATCTTAGCCAATTCGCACAAGGAACACAAATTTACTGTATCACTATGCTGATTAGCTTCGTCTTTCCTCTCCAATATGTTCTTTTCTCGATGCACTTTTCGTTTGTGATTCCTTCTGTTTGGACCATTAATTTGTTCAGACTAATTATAAATCCTTCTTTCAGCTGTCACCTATATCTTCAGCGGCTTTAATGTCGTGGGGGAATGACCTGAGCTTTTATCTTCCATATTAGCTCCTTGGTAATAGTCAACTGGCATATTAGAATATTCTTTACTGCTTTACTCACTGTAGCTCAGTTGAATCAACAATTTATAGATGGAGAAATGATAGAGAGAGAGAGAGAGGAACGGATTGACCAAACTTAAGCATTGATGCTCTAATTTATAATCCAAATCTTGGTTAGATTTCTTTTATATAGAAAGTGAATTTACATCGAATATAAACATATTTTGGTACAATAAAATTATTCATTTTTTTTGCTCAAATGAGTAAAAAATATATGCATGAAAGAAGTATCGCTTTAGTCTTTTTATGAAAAGTATTTGAGTGTATGGAGATGATGCATGCACATTAAGATCAAGTACTGAACTAGTAAGAGATGCATGCACATTAAGATCAAGTAATGAACTAGTGAGAGATGCATGCACATTAAGATCATGTATATGAACAAGCCAGTAGAGCTGTATATAAGTCTCATCATGATGAGCAAATCATGGCTTATATCTCTATACTGAAAACATTCCTAGGAGAGGTCACAATTAATTAATGTATGATAGTATTGTACATATAACTATATCTAAATTTGATTTACGTAGCAACGTAAGCTAAATATCAATTCTAATTTTCACTCAAATATATATCACTGTATCTTTTATGAATTGTTTACAAGGTAATTATAAAAACATGTTCTTTAAATATCTTATGCAGTAAGGTTTTAGTAAATGGATCAATAATTAATATAGCAAAATTTAAGTTCTTATTTAATATTAGTAATTTCTGAATTTTTCTTTACCTATTAAGTACTTTATATCATAATTATTTGTCATTCTTACTTAGAAAAAAAAATACTATGATATGTCATAAAGTATCTTCAGTGACTTAGGAGTTTGACTATACTAAGTGTTGAGATAAAATTTTATAATAATAAAATTTGATTAACGGTATTAAAACAAGCCACTAAATCAGTTTTTTATTTTGATAATGTAACTTATATTTTACTATTCTTAAAAATTACAACTTCAACTAATATAAATATGAATCATAAAGTGGACTTCCTATTGTCGAGGCAATGAATATAAAAATCTCATTATTTCAAGCTAATCTAATCCCTTATATGTGAGCATATAATCCTTTGTCCTTTACAAATATCTTACTACTTTATTCTTTTATAATATTATTAGGACATTGACTTTGATTAAAATTTTCATCTATAATAATAGGTATATCATTAGCTCAACAAAACTACATACTAAATCTCTCAAATATATCTTTTTTTGTGATAGTCTTAACTATCTTTGAGATTTATCCTTAAATATCTCAATGCTAATAATATAAACAATCCCATTCATATTGATTATCTTAAAACTGTTGATGAGAAATATCTTGGTCTAATGTAATAAACCAAGATCATTGGTGGCAAGCTTTCCTTTTCTTTCTATGCGAATCCTTTAGGTTGCTTAATATAAATTTTCTCATCTAGATTCTCATTCAAAAAAAATATTTTCATATTCATATGATATAAATTAAGATCATAATGAGCTACTAATATCATTACTATTTTTAACAAGTTAATTTAAAACTAGAGAAAATATCTTGTTATGATTGATATCTTCTTTATAAATAAAATTATTTATCATAAGTCTGGCTTTATATGATTCATTATGAACTTTTGAGTCATATTTAGTCTTGAAGATTAATTTACAATTGACTTTTTTATAATTATTAGACAATTTGATGATTTTTAAATATCATTCTAGTCTATTAATTTGAACTTTTCTTCTATTGTATTATAGTATTTTTCAGAATCATCATTTTTCATAACTTGTGAAAATAATAAGGGGTCCTTTTGATTCTTATATCATAATCTGATTATTGTAAATATTACACATAATCATAAAAAATGATAGAGCTCTTTTTCCTTTGAGATCTTATATAAACTATCGGTTGTGGTTGATCAATAAGATCATTAGTAGTCACATCAATATAATGTGAGATTTTATCAATGTTATTTTATAGTTTACCCTCATCAATTTGTTCATTAAATTTTGGATAGTGACCTAGTCAAAATCACTATTCAGCGATCAAAATCCAAATCAAGGTCAAGATCAAGATCAAAATTAGATTTTGATCAAAGTCAAAATCAAATGATTGTCAAAATCAATATTTTGACCAAACTAGGTTATCTTTCTTTTGTAAGAAAGAGGAGCAGTATAATATTTTGGAAGAGGAGCATGTTGAAATTCTTGTAGAAGCAATGAGAACTGATCATCTTTCTTTGTTCTCCAAGAATCTTAATGATGAGGGATTCATGGAGCTGAAATCTCCCTGTTATGATCCGTAATCTCTCTATGTGATTAAAAATAATCTTGTTAGTGAGATTAGCAGACTAATCGAGAAAGTAAGGGTGATCGAAGAGGAAAAGATGTAATTTTCTAACTTTTACACATCCAGAAGAACTAAGAAATCGCCTGTTGATTTTAGAGTTTGATTTGAAAATCGTGACTAGTTTATTTGAAGAACTGGATCTTCAAACAGAAGCTGTAAAGATTAAATTGATGGAGAGGGAAACACGACTATCATAAGCAAATCAGAAGGTCAAAATCCACTCAAGAAAAAAATATGTTACTAAATGAAGTCCTTGAGACTCTTCGATCGGATAATGTTGAGACTAAGCTCGTGAATGAAGAGATGGAGAAGAAAATTTTAACTTTGATAGGTGTTAACACGATCGTCAATTGGTGAGTCGGTTCGGTTGATTTTTTGTTGAAAGTGTAGGTCCTTTCTAGTCACTCTTCCTAGCTAATATGGAGAGCTAGTACTACGGGCAGGACGAAAAAAACTGTAGGGAGAGACAACATGCTAGGAGTGGCTCAATCTTCGAGTTGCGAAGCTTGGTTTGGGAATTGGCTGCCGGGTAGCTTCCTGGTCATGCCTCCAGGCTACGTCGATGACCCTGCACAACAGGCTTGTGCCGGGAATGTCCCTGCTCGACCCCTCTGATGCTTAAGTTAGGAAAACATAGAGGGAGGAAGACAAGGGTATCAATAATGAATTAAGAGAGTAAAGAGTCTCTTCTGCCTGTTTGCCCTAGCTTGGCCCGGGGCATGACTTTTATACCTGAGCGCTAGGTGGAGCGGACGGGCTTCTATCAATACTCCCCTTACCCGATGTGGTGGAAACATTTAATACGGGCGACGTGCCAGCGCATGCTTCTAGGGGCAGCGACTGGGGATTGTCACGATATGTCTCTGATCGGATTTTCTTGCTTATTCGGGTCAGGCAAGGTGTGGTCCTCTCGTCGTTCGTCTGACTGGTGAAGCCGGGCCATGCTGTAGACCATTAATGCGGAGCTAGGTTTATTTTCCCGACCGCATGATCGATAAGGAGGAATTCCTGTGGGCTCACTTCGGGAAGTTGGGGCAAGTGACGTGACATCCCGTTGGTGGTTGTAGGTGGCTCCGAGCCTTCGTCTAGGTGTTGCTTACGTGTTCATCCCTATCAATAGGAATGATGAGATTAGAGGTCTTCAGAAAGAAAATATGACGGTGAAGAGGGGGACATTGATCAAATGCATAAAAGAGTTGAAGATCGTGTATTGTATGCAGGGAGGAGCATCTCATCTTATTAGAACTTCATAAAGAAACAAGTGAGATTATGCAGTGTGAAGAGCAGATTGCAACAATGTTGACCGACTTCCAGATTTTATTAGTCAATGCAGCATTGCAGGATGACAAGTTTCAAGAACTGAGAGTAGTAGAAGGCGAGGTTAGTGCAGTAGTGCAAAAGGAGGTGCCAGTTGCTGAACCATATTTATTTATCCATTACATTACACTGAAGCTCTCGCTTCCCTCCTGTTCTTGGGAGTGAAGATGGTTAACTCATTCCCTCGGTTCAACTTTAGCCGCCTAGCCTCCTCCTTGTAGAACCGGTCGGCATATCACACAGAGTCGATGTCTTCCCCATGAAGTGGTTGCAAAGGAGCAACGAGCAGACCGTGAAAAAGAGAAAAATGAACGTCTTTAAGAAAGTGGATGGGGGAGATGGCCATGGCTCTCGGTGTTTAAGTAGAACTACGAACGAGGAGGAGACAATGGTGAAGAGAAGTAGGAGGGTATTTATAATGGGTTAATTAGAAGTCCGGTTGGACTGTCACGAGACTCAGCATTAACTCATACGTTTTGTTGAAGAGAACAGGCCGACGATTCCGGTTTAGCCCAACCCCGATCTGCGTACAACATGTGAAAGCCATCTCTACTTTTTGTGCTTACTGATTTCCCCTTCTCGTTGATCTCGTTTTCTTCGATTTCCTTTTCGTGTGGGTTTTCAAATTTAATTTCGATTCCTTTGTTCTTTTCTTCTCACAATTGGGTTTTGCTTGGCGATTTACGCCCCTGGATCGAGGATTCTAGGGTTAGGGTGTTGGATGTGGGGACCGGGGAATTAACCGGTTCTCTGATTATTAGATGCATCGAGATTAGTTGATCGCTGGATTTATGTGCTGAATCTACTTTCTCAGAAGGTATCTGAAATTAAATCTGGCCTGGAAGATGCGGAGAATCTAGTAATATGCTCAATTGTATCTCATTGGTTGATTAATAGGACCTGCAACTTTATAAGATTGCTTTTCTAGATTCGAAAAATGAATCTCGAAGCCAGAAGCTTGCAGGCGAGCATAAAGGCTACTGGAGTCAGGGATGGCTGATACATTGGCGGTACGACAGGTCTTAGTTTATTGTATTTTCACTGTATATTATCATGCTTAATCATTGCATTTCTGACTTTTTATTATAATCTGGTCGCCATGTAGTTATAGGTTAGTTTGATAATTATGGGATTTAGGGCAACATAATTGATAAATGTTAGGCTTCGCTGATGTGAAATAACAGTTCGTATGGAAAGTTGTTTTCTTTGTTTCTGTCACATTATTCTTGGATTGTCTTCTTCTTTTTTGTTGTTCACCATTCTTATGGAATTTGGATATCCAATTGCTATGCAACACTAAGAAGGAGTGGAAAAAATTTCTCAGTGAATGGGTTTTACTTTTTTGTTTGGAAGTATAGTATAAACTCACTAATACTGAAATATGAACTAAGGTTATATGGAGGAGGCATGGAGCTGTAAGATGCTAAATAACCACTTGTTGGCCTTGGAGATTGTAATTCAGGTATCAGTAGGTAACGGTTTATGTTGGGTTTATCATGAATTAGCCCTCAGTGACCTAGCTAGTCATTATGTTTTTGTAATTTCCTGCATAGGAGCTGGTGATTACAGTGGTGGTGACAGGTTCGACTTTGTTCAAGTAAATAGCAGCATGGAACCAGAGTGTTGGATTTGAATCTAGGCAATGTGGAGGCTTCATGTCTGTACTTCGAGCTGTGCAGAATGAATTGCTAGTATTTTATCACTGTGTATGTATCATCTTGTATTTAAATCATTTGGTGGTACAGGTCTCTGCTGATCAAAGGGCAAGGTTGTTAATGTCAACTGAGAGACTCAACAAGTCTAGTGACAGGATAAAGGAGAGCATAAGGTCAACACTGGAGTCAGAAGAAGTTGGTGTTTCAGTTCTTCAAGGCTTGGATCAACAAGGGCAACCTCTCTTACATGCCCATTTAACTGTATGTTTCTGTGTTAATCTTCTTGTTCTTATGACAGCTTCATGTACTTTTTTTCATGGGTTAATCTTTCATTTTCAGTGCCATCTGTAGTTTTTGTGCTTACTGATGTGATAACTATTTCTTTTTTTGGGGTTCTCTTTTGGGACTTTTCCTAATGGGATGAGTGTGTTAGTACAACAGCATCTGTTCATAAGCTAAATTTGGCATCATGGATCTAGTCACAAGATGGTCATAGTTGGGGATTTATTTCTTTCAATCATATTAATCTTCCTTTGTCATATGTTTCGGCAATATCTGAAAGCTAAAAAGAGGAAATAAGGTGTTCATGGTACAAGGGATGACAGTCATAATTGACTCTATCTGAATGTACTTGTTGCAAATATAATTTTTTTTTTCAAGATCAAGATTTTAAAATTTAGTTCTCCAATTAAACCGTTTACAAATGCTACAGTAGGGACTAAGGACTGAATTCGTTACCTCATATAAATCATCAAGAACCAGTAAGCATTCATCCAAAAAGGTGAACTGAGAAATTGCTAATCAATTATACCAGTGTTTAAGGCTCTCAATGAAGTCCCTTCCATCAGTTATATAGATCAGGCAATGAGTTTATAAGTCTTTGAGTTGGAAGATTAGCTCTGGTTCTGGCAGTTATTTTGATCCTGTATTTTAAGCTTGCCCATTGAAGTCCGAGATTGTATCGCTCGGGCCTGCTCAACTTGTGGTCAATGCTTTTGTGAAATAATGAAGTTTACCCGATCTCTCTTATTCTGCAAGATGATCAATTCCATTACTCCTACCATTTCATTTACCTTGCTGCCTGCTGCATCCAATTGGCAATGTTGGAGACGGTAAGCCATCCACAGGTAGGAAAAGTATTCTTGTTCAAGTACTTTGTATTATGCATCATTGAGCAAGGAGAGCTGTATATGGACGAGGGTAAACACTGTTTTTGATCGAGAATCAGGAGGTTTGCTCATCAAACAGTAATGTCTGTCTTTGGTTTTTTATTATTTTATTGTGATACTCAAGCATATATGCATGATCTGATTCAAGCAAACAGGTTTAAGGTCAACCTATATGTTCTTGTTAGATCAAAAATATTCTTGTTGTTGTAAACACATTTCTGGTTTCCAAACCCCCCCTCAAGAGAATTCTGCAATATTATTGATTGTTGTCATAATAACATTTGTTGGGTTGGATAGTATGACAATTCTTCAAATTTTCTTGCACTGATTATGAAATTGTAGCAATTTTAAGTGCTTGAGGTCTTAAATGTTGTAACTATTATCTTCTTCCTTGTGTTGATGCAATTATTTTTTTGGTGGTGGTATCATCTCATCTTGTTCTTAATGCTCATACTCCTACAACAGCAAAAAGATTGGTTTTTGAAACCTATTAAGGTTAGATTTACTATTTTGTGTCAATTGATTATTTCTAAACCCCATATCGATTGAAAGTCAAAAACCAAATTAAAATTCCAACCAGCTAATATTATTTTGGTTTGCTTTGGAATATTATTTTTGGATTGCGGCGGATGCGAACGGAGGTGAACTCAGTGACGAGCGGGGGGAACGGCCACCGAGAGAGTGGTGGCGCCGCCTTCTTCGTTCGCTCCCTCCGTCGTGGCAGCTGTTGGGGTTC